GTGTGTAAGCAGTTTGTGGAGGCGGGCTTCATGGCGGACGCAGACCTCGACTCTGGTTGCCTTCTGAACAAAAAAATTCGCAATGCTCAGCTAGCTCAGTACAACTTCATTCTGGGTAAGGAAAGATCAGATATGCTGTGTGTGCATGGTTACGCAGAAGGTGTCTGTGATTGGCTGTTGTGTCTGTGTCATTTCTTTGGTGTCCAGCATCATTCCATGAGATTCTGGGAAAGATTCCATTGGATTTGCATGTTCTGTGGAAAATGAGTACCAATATACACGGATCAGCCATAACATTAGATCAGACACAGCACTGCTGCTGGAGATTTTAAACACCTCAGTGTGGCTGCTGGACTGAGAATAGTCCACCAACCAAAAACATCCAGCCAACAGCGTCCTGTGGGCAGCATCCTGTGACCACTGATGAAGGACTAGAGGATGACCAACACAAACTGTGCAGCAGCAGATGAGCTATCGTCTCTGACTTTACACCTACAAAGTGGACTGATAAGGTAGGAGTGGACACAGTGTTTAAAAACTCCAGCAGCACTGCTGGGTCTGATCCAATGAGCGTAGAAACAAGGAGGTGGTCATAATGTTATGCCTGATCTGTGTATATCATTAGGCTATATTAAAGGGGAATTCTGCCAGTTTTTCAAATTTCAGAATTCCTTAATGGTTCATTGTAGAGAAACTAATTGACTCTGATTTCTTTACAGTGGTGGTGATAGGAACCAGGGGTCATGATGTCTACAAGGCAAATTTATTTGTATATCCAAAACCGCCAATGAAGCGGAGTTCATTAGTCTGAGGCTCTGAGTGTTTATAGGCAGTGTTGATAATGGTAGAATAGTGTTACAGACATAAAAACAAAAACGTTTTCTTTACTAGCCTATCCTACGACATCGTTTTAGGGCCGCTGTTAAAAAAATAAATAAATAAAAGAATAATAGACTTTGACAATAAAGTCGTAATATTTTGAGAATAAAGTTGTATTTTTTAGAATAAAATCGTAATATTTCGAAAATAAAGTTAAAATATTTAGATAATAAAGTCGTAAAGTTACAGGAATAATATTGTAATAATAATTTCAATAATATAATGATATTTCGAGGCAAACCCTTCAGCTACAATAGTGCAGCTTTGCGTGGTAATGTCCCACTTTAATGTCGTAATTATATGACTATCAAAATATTATGACTTTATTCTCAAAATATTAGTTTTATTCTCGAAATATTGACTTTATTCTCAAAATATCTTTTTATCTCAAAATATTACGACTTTGTTCTCAAAATATTGCAATACTCTTGAAATATTATGACTTTTTATCTCAAAATATCATGACTTTATTCTCACAGTTTACTATTTTTAATGTTGAATGTTTTCATGAACTGAATTCAGAGCGTTAGATGAGGGTAAACGCTAATCTCTGCAGCACTTTGGCCTAGAAGGTCTCTAGTTTGACATGAGACATATGTCAGGCATCAGACAGTATCCATTTAATGTAATTACTTTGTGATTTAGCATTTCACATCCAACCACTCTGAATAACTTTACAATTTAATTTGCAGAAATTTAGAAAAATGGGTGGAATTCCCCTTTAAATCAAGTCCACTGTATGTGTGCTTCCAACACCTGCTTACATTCTGTCACTGTGAATGAATCTCCGGCGCATTTCCAAGAGAAGCGTGCAGTGCTGTTATGCCAGCTGTTGCTTCTTGTAGAGTGGCCACAGTGACTAACGTGGGCATCGTTATGTGTAATTCTTCGTCTTGATGTTGTCTTTGGCAGTGGTGGGTGAGAAGGAGAAGATGACTAACAGCGTCAATGTGCGCACGAGGGATAACAAGGTCCACGGGGAACTGACAGTGCCGGAGGTTCTGGCCCGGCTCACTCTACTCAAGCAGTCCCGGTGCAAGAACGCAGAGGAGGTTTTCTGAAGGAGATGAAGGCCTGATCCCAGTTCAGAGAAAGCAGAGGAAATCTGTAATGAAGGGCTGTGTAGTTACTGTATGAGGGTGACCATTAACGTAATAGCATCATCTATGTCTGTACCATTTAGACAGTAGTTTCAATGTGTTTACCTCTACTTAGACCTGAAATCCTGTTGATGTAAAACATGCTTATCGCTGTCAGTACAAAACCTCATATCTCCATTTTTGTCGTTTTTCGGTTTTTGACATAATTTGAAAGTACCCATTGTCTGTTACATTGTTTATAAATTTCATGATGAATGGACCAAAAAAAATGACCCAAAATTACTTGGAAATACGTCTGGTTCCATTGACTTACATTGAAAGTAGAGTATGTTTTTTCCTTCTCCTGTAAAGTTACCATTTGGAGATACAAGGTTTTGTTCCAACAACAGCGATATGATGATGTCTATGGGACAGTTGCTGAATTCTGTGAGTAAACATTTGAAATATGATTATAATTCGAAACTGCAAACATTAGATTCTAATAATACAGGTGCTGGTATGAGACCGACATGAGAACATCTTACCAAAGCTGCTCTTATGAATTTGAACCAGCTTTCAAACACTGGAGCAGCTCAGTAAAGCACCTCCTGTTATTATTCGCTTCTCCTAAAGGTTTCTGGTATCTGTGTGCAAACTAATAATAATCTGGTAACATATTTCCACAAAGACACACAATGGAAAGCACAAATATGAAAAATGACAGCTAATTTCCAAACACCTTTCATAAAAATACCCTAAGAAAATGCATGTTGTAAATGTTCAGCAGCTGCCCATTGACTTCTATTATAAATGTGTTTCAAGTCAACATTTCTCTTTATTTTCTATATACAGAAAAAATATTGAAATGATTTGACTGTGGTGATCGAATGTGCACTACAAATGGGGCAAATAATCATGAGGTTGACAAACTCAATTCCTTTAAACGCGTTGAAAAACAGCACTTTTGGTTTTTTCACAATCTTCAATGGGAGACAATAGAGGAAATGAGCAGAAGGATATTTTTCTTTGAGCTGGGATCAGGTTCAACAGAGCTTTTGTCAGTTAAGGCAGAAAAGGACACGGGGAAAAAGGAAAGAAGGAAATGTTTGTAATGGAAAGTGCTCTATAAAGGAAATGACAGCATTAGAAGAGGGCAGTTCATGACAGGACTGAGATCATATGAAATGTCTTTGTGTAACGCCAAGGCAGAATCTTTTTTTCAGTGCATATCAAATCACTACGGTTCAGTAGACGAGTGGGAGAACAGGCTGAAAGAGGCGACATTTGGCTTGAGCAAATGTCTTCGCTGCAATGTGATGCAATTTTTTTGTGACATGCTATAAATGTTTGCAAGTAAGAACGCATACAGTGACGGCGTACAGTCTGTCTGTTATTATGAAACTTGAGTGTTCCAGTAGAGGGAGAGTTTAAGTGATGTCATGTAATGGGAATATGTAAAGTGAATTAAAAGTCCTGGTAATTATGAAGAATAAAAGCCTTTTCAGTGATACATATGTGTCTATATCCATATTTATCTGTGCACCGTATTCATCTGTGTGCGCCTGTGAGAGACCTCAAATATTGTTATTAAATCATAGAAGAGTGACCACATCTAATCTCATATCTAAGTACCAGCCAAAACTGTTCTAATACTGCCTATCGCACAATAGAGTGATGTAAATAACTCAAGATCTCAGGATCTCTTTCTTAGAAAGGCTTCCATAAAAAAGACCTTTAAGAATTTTCTTTCTTGTGACACTTTTGTGAACCTGGCTGTAGGATTTCTGGTCACTGTTAAATCCCTATGTTGGTTGGTAAGTTGGAAATTCCAGCATCCTGACACCACTAGGGTGAGAAGATGCACTGAAAAGTAGTTCTTCTCCTTCACACTGATTTTCTACTATAATTTCTTTCACCTTTTCACCTTCAGGATCACATAAGGCTTCATAAAAAGATGAATATTGAGTTTACAGCTTAATAATGAGATTCCATCTCATGATTGACTTAGTACCTCTGTTTGAATTTGCTATCTCATAATTATGACTTAGTACCTCATAATGACGACTTACTATTTCACAATTATGGCTTCCAATCTTACAATTACAACTTACCATCTCATAATAATAACTTAGCGTCTCATAAGTATAATTTTACATAGTTATGAATTACTTTCTCATAATTATGACCTAAGATCTCATAATTATGACTTGGTCTCTCAGATTTATGACTTTTTCATAATTATAACTTAGCATCTCAATTATGGCTTAGCATCTCATAATTATCACTTACCCTTTCAATATTATGACTTAGTATTTCATAGTTGCGACTTACTTTCTCATAATTTTGACTTAGTATCTCATAATTATCACTTACCTTCTCATAATTGTGACTTAATATCTAATAGTTATGACTTACTTTCTCATAATTACAATTTAGTATTTCATAATTATGACTTAGTATCTCATAATTATCACTTGCCTTCTCATAATTTTGACTTAGTATCTCATAATTATCACTTACCTTCTCATAATTGTGACTTAATATCTAATAGTTATGACTTACTTTCTCATAATTACGATTTAGTATTTCATAATTATGACTTAGTATCTCATAATTATCACTTACCTTCTCATAATTTTGACTTAGTATCTCATAATTACCACTTACCTTCTCATAATTGTGACTTAGTATCTTATAGTTATGACTTACTTTCTCATAACCACGATTTAGTATTGCATAATTATTACTTACTTTCTCATTATGACTTAGTATCTCACCATAATGACTTCTTTCTGAAAATTATAAGAAAGTTTTCTCATTATTGTGAGATAGTAAGATGATTGGAGATGTTAAGTCGTAATTACGGAAAACTTTCTCATTATTATGCCTCAGTAAATGTCTATGTCTTTCTACAGTAGCAAAAAACGGGTTTCCACCATAAAGGCCCAGCTTTCGTATCGATATTTTCATGTGAGGATCAGTTCTCAAAAATAGCCGTCAGGATCGGAGGTATCGCCGCTGCAGTGTCGACCCGCCCAGCCCTCCCCGTCAGCGTTGTGTTGATGGTGTACAGGAAGGCGCAGGATGGCTGCTAAAGGCTTGAAATGGGTTTTTGAAAGGGGTCGGACTGTCATGAAAACCTACGGCATCCTGTTACTGCTGCTCTCCGACGTTTTCTTCAGTCCTGCAAACGGTACGACTCGCAGTGAAAGCGATAAAGTTCACTGTTTTGCTTTTTGTCGTCACTGACTAGCAAGCTAGCTAACCTCGGTTGTGATGTCTCGGTCAGCGTTAGCATTAGCACTAGCGTTACTTCGGTTGCTTTTAGGCACTTCTTCTCTGTAACTGGTGTTAATATTCCACTCTAATAGCGACTTTCATTGTCTTTTTATTAATATACGTGAATAAATACCATTTAATCATTAACAATTTGCAGCAACTGTGTTTTTCAGGACATGGCCACGGTTAGCATGCTAGTTAAAACCCAGCTGAAGTCAGCTTCTTGTTCGAATTTTCCCGTTCCACCTTAAGTGATGCAGCAGTTCCGTTCTGGCGCATGAGGCGTTATAGGCATTCCCACACGATTTAAGGTGGAACGGGGAAATTCGAACAAGAAGTTGGCGAATAAGAAGCCAACTTTAGCCTCGCCTAACTAAAGTTAGCTAACAAGATGCGTGAAACATAAAGCTGTCATATATGGGATTTTTAAAGATTATAATACAGGGTGTCCCAAAAAATTGACACAATTTCGTAGTCTAATAACATAGCCAGTTCTCCCTCGAATGATCTCAAATTTTAGCAAAATGTGTAAAAACTAACCAAGTTTAATTGTTAATGTTTTTTCAGGTTGAAGAACGGCGTTCACTAGAAATGAAAAGGCATTCTGTGTGTTAGAATATGCTCAAACACAGTCAAACAGGAGTGTGCAGCGAGCATTTTCGAGAAAATTCAATAAAAATGCACCAGCTGGAAAGCAGATTTGGACACGGCACAAAAAATTCAAAGAGGAAGGCTGTCTGTGCAGGACAAAGGGATCTGGATGACCACCAGTATCGCAAGATATTACATTTGTGAAGCTGTGAAATCGGTTATAAAATCTACATCCCTCTGAATTTCTTGTTAGAATTTTGATAAATAAATCTTGTATTGTTCAACATGACGCCTATTTAATTTCATTTGTCTACGACAGGTAGTTCCTCAGATATTCAGATATCAAATGATGTCAGTTTTTTTGGGACACCCTGTATGATGAAATAGGATGGGCCTTCTCGCTTGTGGTTATGACATTTGCCTGTCTAGAGAATCTAAACAGGGGTCTCTGTTCACAGTCTGAAGCGTATTCCTCCGATTAGTCTAGATTTTTGGAAAAACGTTTGTCCCTCTCTGTTGTCCAGGTTACCTGAGCTCTGCACACGTGGGTCAGGAGCCTGCTTACACCCCTCAGCACAACCCTGCGATGAGCAGTCCAGCTGTGTCAACTCCAACATCAGGTGAGCTGAGTTTTCTTGTTTCCATCCTTCAGTGTCCTCTCACCACAATACCCAGCATGCATTACTACACTCATTGTCCATTTTATCAGCTCCACTTAGCATATAGTAGCACTTTGTAGTTCTACAATTACAGTCTGTAGTCCAGCTGTTTCTCTGTGTACTTTGTTACCCTTTTCTTCAATGGTCAGGACCCCCACAGGACCACCACAGAGCAGGTACTATTTGGGTGGTGGATCATTCTCAGCACTGCAGTGCCACTACACTGTGTTAGTGTGTTGCGCTGGTACCAATGGATCAGACACAGCAATGCTTCTGGTGTTTTAAACGCTGTGTCCACTCACTGTCCACTCTGTTAGACACTCCTACCCTATTGGTCCACCTTGTAGATGTAAAGGCCTCAGTATGAGTGTGTTTCTTCTCTCATTGTGAGGTAATATTTTTCAGAGTCTACAGATGTCACTGACAATTACATAGCCAAGTGTCCAAGTGGAGGAGCGTGCAGCAAGTTACCTGCGGACTGCTTCACCTGTGACTACCACCACAACTGCAGTTATGGCAAGCCAGCCAACTTCACCTGCAAGGTCAAGGACGGAGTACAGTGTGCGGTGTGTACGCTAGAAATGGCAAATTCCTTTTTAAACCTATGAAACTGAATGAAGTAAAAAGACCACATTCACAAAGACATTTTTGTGTCCATCAAAATGCACTTTTTGCCATTGATTGAAAGAGAGCAGTGCAGTGACAAACACCAGACATCGAAGCATGGCAATGTGCAAAAATAAGCTCCCCATTTTTGGCCTTTTGTCAGAACACACTCTGAAATAACCACACTCAGACTGAGTCATCGTTCTGTATTCGGCATGCCCATATTAGGGGTCTGAGCTGGTTTTCTTTATGGTAGCAATGTTCCAAAGCTAATATATTCAGTCCTGTGTACATTTCACCTCTAATGTAACTTGATGCTCAGAATTATGAGGTTGTTAAGGATTCAAAATGTGAATATTGCCACATCAATGCCACAAGCAAGTTATGGCGCTTTGGAATGATGTTGCATGAAAGTAAGTGTACTTTTAAACTAAAACACTTATAATCAACATCAGCTACCAGAAGTGTTAGCTTGCATGTAGCAACATTCGTATTTTCGACTACTGAACAACCTTGTAACTCAAAAGGATCCAGTGACATTCAGAGAAAAAAATACAGCAGTACAGAAAAACGTGTCTGGTTTTTGAAAATGATTTTTCCCACAGAATTGCATTTACTTGTTTTCTTAGCAGGCCAGGCAAGATAGCACTGCAGTAGAACAGGCCAGCAACATGAATTCATGTGCTTTTTTTTTTTAATCATCCTTGTGAACACGGCCTAAGGTTTGCTATGTGGTCTCATTTACACTGCTTTTTTCTTTAATTCAGACTTTTAATAAATCGGTGATGTACAGCCTGGCCATAATCTGGACGCACATTAATAACATTAATAACAGTTGTTTTCATGCTCTTCTGCACTTTCATAATATTCTAAAGTGATCCCTGCTCTGTGTGGCGTATCCCACAGGACATGTCAGATGGGATCTTTAACCTGACCATGGATTGTCAGTTCTGCTGGCAGCTGGATCCGTCTAAGTACCGCTGCAACATCTCAACCACCTGCATGACCGTGTCCTGCCCCCGCAAACGCTACAACACCACCTGCAAGGTGCTGGACCACGTCAACTGCTTAGGTATGGGTTCTTTTTTCTTATGTAATTGAGATGTTTGCCCAGAGGAGAATTTGTGCTGCAACACACAGAGAGATTCAGTTTTTATGAGGCTAATTCTAAACTATAATATATGATAAATATATTTTAGAGCTGCACAATAGATCAGTTACAAGCCTGTTATTTGGGACAATTTAAATATTGTTTTTGGCACAATTCAGGAACTACTTCCATTAATGTTTGCTTTGTTTTTATTAGTGTACGCGCTAGAGATGGGACCGATCCGATGCTATATCGGTATCGGGACTGATATTGACGTAATTCGCTTATCGGAAATTGGCCAGACAAGGCCGATTCACTTACCGATACATATTCCGTTCTGCAGCTTACGCCGGACCATTAACCCGCCGTAATGTAACGTAAAACGCCACCGATCCTAAGTCCATTCCACATCTTACCATGAACCCACAAGCAACAGTAGCTGTTGGTTTGACTGAAACGCTTTAGTCTGGAAACGCCTAAAAGCAAGAGCACTACTTGTAATGTGTGTAAGGCCAGCGTGCCGAGGGATGAAAGTGTGGCTGCGTCATACAATACAACCAAATTAATCAAGCACCTGCTGAGGTTTCACGTGAAAGAGTACCAGGAGTTCATGCTAGCTAACAGACAGGAAGACACCACCAAGCAGAGACTCTCACTGATGCTTTCCAGAAATGCGATAAACTTCCAACAGACCACACAAAGTTAAAGGGATCACAGAGAAATTGTTGATCTTCATCATACTCGATGACCAACCGCCATCTGTAGTGAAAAAATGTTGGAATTCACAGCCTGATGGAGCTCTTAGAGCCCAGGTATAACCTGCCATCCAAAAAATACTCAGATGTGAGTCTGGAGTCTCTAATAAGTCTCACTGCATGCTGGGTGAACTCAGAAACAAATCGCTGTTGTTGGAAGAAAACTTCGGATCTCCATTTTTGTCGCTTTTTCCGTTTTTGGCATAATTTGATCATTCCTGTTGTCCTTTACATTGTGAGAAAATTTAATGATGAATGTACTAAAAGAAGCGGCCCAAAATGACCTGGAAAGAAGTCTGGTTCCATTGACTTACATTAAAAGTAAAGTATGTTTTTTCCTTCTCCTGTGAAGTTACCATTTTGGAGATACAAGGTTTTCTTCCGACAACAGCGACATGCACCACAGTGTGCCGTGCATCAAGTGATAAAGTGCAGGGGGTCACACACCAGCAGTTCAGCTGCAGCCTCCATTACAGACATGCTTAGTGAAGCAGACATGCTTAGGAAGATTAAACACCTTAAACACAATACCAACAATAAGCTCTTGTATCGGAATCTGTATCTGTATCGGCAGTTGTGTATCGGAATCGTATCGGAACTGAAAAAATGTGGATCGGCCCATCACTAGGACGCACTGATGCAAGTGTAGCCTGTATGCAGACACATAGTGAAAATGTCAGCATTGTGGATGTGGAGTGTGCAGTGGAGGGAAGCAAGGGAGAAATCTATTTTGATCTGATAACCCATCAATCCAGTGATTGATGTAGCCTTAAGAATCTGAAGCAGCTAGTGTCTTAAGGGTTTTAATGTATTATGCTCACTGCGCTATACTGATTATTCATTCTTGGTATCAACTACTGTAAAATGTTAATTATTGGCCGAGAAATTGCACATGGATGAGTCTCTCACATTTGTGGTAGATATGAGGTAATGTGTAGAGGCACTCTTAGTCACTCCCCTTTTTTTCACAGCTACTTTTATATTATTGGTTGGATTAAAGGATTCTTGTCTGTTACTAGTTACATGGCCATGTGATTTATAACACACTGGCCTGAATTACTAACCCTTTGCAGCTGTATTGTGCCTTATATTGCTCTGAAGTATCCGTCAGCACCAAAGACCAGTTGCCTGGTGCTTTGATATCTTAGTTTTTCACAGTATAGTCAGCCAGATTAAAGATATTTATCATTAGATCTCAGTGACCCATCTCCTTGCTTTGATCAGTTGGGTCAGTTGGATCCTGAGGTTTGTGTTTGGGATCACTAACCATCATTACACTTACAGCACTTGTGTTAAAAGCTGCGGCCTTGCTTTTGAATATTAGCCCTTATTCATCAAAGTTGATATGGTCAAATCAAATAAGCGCGTGCAAATTTAACGAACAGTTTAACAACCTGAAAAAGTGCTTTTTATTTTTTGGTTAACTAATCCGTACCATTATATACAATATCATCTGTAATACCAATAATAAGAATAAAAATACAAAAAAATAACAATAATGTTAATAATTTGTGCGCATGGCAATCCAGTACAAAACTGGACGTACTTCGTTTACATTCACATTGGTATAAACAAATGCTACAACCATCCCATGTTCTATTCAAAGACACATCAAACTGTGTTTTTGTTTTATGCTTTAACTCTGCTCACTAAATAAACAATACAAACCCAGCTAATACAGAAGCATCTCATACACTGCAGTTATGCAGCGATATTTTAGGAAAATAATCGCACTACACAATCACATCATTCAGAAACAGTCATACTAAGTCATTTTGTTTATTTCACATTTTTTGCAGTCGTGGTACTTTTCTAAGTCTGGTCAGTAGGGGGAGCAGACCTTGACCTCAAGCACAGCAATGGCTCACATGTTGCTGAATGCTTTCGTTTTATTGGCTCCCTACCACAGCATCTGCATACATTAGGAGATGCTTCATGTAAACGATATGTAACGAGGTTCTAGTAGGCTGGTGCTTAATTTTACATACTGATTCATCATTTGCAATAAAATCTCCGCACATTTCCACATTGTAAGACGGTTTCATAAATCTGATGCAGAGAAGTTCACACTCCATCAAAGGTGGTCAGATCTGTGCTCTTTTTTTACACAAAATTGATGAATAAAGGTCATTTGTGTTTTCTAAACATGGGAACTGCCTCTCATGGGAACTGATGATTTGCTCAACAGACCATCACATCCTTCTTAAAATCGTACTCAAAACCAAGCAGACTTGTAAGCAAAGTGGCTACTTTGCATTGCTGTGGCTTGGGGCACCGTCAGTAAACAGTGCCCCCTGCATGGCGTACCTAATACATTGTCTGAAGGTCTAAAAACTTTTATGTTGTTTGTACTTATTAAGACGAGCATTAGCCCACTTCAAAGCCAAAGCCGGAGACATGTAACCTCATTATTGTATGCAGAGTATTAACAAGAAATAGTTTGAATTGAGTGTAAACAGCTGTACATTAGAAAAAGAGAGCAGATTCAGATTAAAGTATCACAGCCTAAACCCTGACTTGGTTACTAGTAAGGCTTCTAGCAGGCGACTCTAATATCTACTGTTGTGCTGCGCTTACATTGCTCCACTCTATTTTCACGCAGTGTTCTCCTTTGGGCATATTGCTAAGAAATCATTCAGACATTTTTTTTCCAAGCAGCTTGAAGCACAGTGTTCAGAGTAATGTGGGTGGTATTACAATCTTAGAGCCATAATATAGTGTCCCTCTTAAGTGAGGAAGCTCTGAATTTATCATTAGATGAGCCACAGGGTCGATAAAAGTACAAAGCTTTTTCTTTTGATATAAAAGGGTAGAAAATTTAGAGTGCATGCACTTGTGGTTTCTCCATTAGTGTACAGAGGCAGGCTTTGATTTCATTGTAACAGGCAGTTTGAAAACGCAGCTGGTGAGTAGTCAGGAAATGTGGCAAGCCGTAGAACAAGAATAGTGCCATGTCTTAGAAATAGGAATGTGGTAAAGTCACTCTAAAGCTAAAGAAATTGCATATGCTTGCAACTTTGACATGTTTGGCCATGTCTGTCTTGTCTGAATAGGGAGAAGGGAATTTCAGAAGCGGCTGTTCTGCAACTGGACTGGAGGGTACAAATGGTCTACAGCGCTGACGCTCAGGTAATCCACTTGCTCGAGCTTGTTTTCTCCCCTCAGCTAGAAACAGCTACAAGAAATTACAGTGTAATTGTTCGATTTCCATAAAAGCCTGAAAAGCACTTTTTATTTTCTGATTTTCTGAATAATACTGAAACGTTGAGTATTGACTGATACTGATCTGATATTTCTTCTTTCACTTTTAAAAAAGATGGTTCTTCAAAGGTTCTTTAGTAACCAAAATGGTTATATATAGAGCCTTGAACACTCAAAGAACCCTTTGCATGATTGCATCGTGAAAAGGTTCTTCAGATTGATGGAGTATGTGCTATATATGGTTCTATATAGAACCTTTTTTGAAAAGGGCTCTACATAGCACCAGAAAAGGGTTCTTCCACAGTCACGATGTCAAGCTTGTAACAATAGAAGAACGCTTTTTAATTGAAACACTTTACTTAGGATGAGCATCTAAAAGTAGGCTATTATCCTGAAACTACCTTGATGTTTGATCCAGCAATTTCTACTGTGATCAGCCTTCATGGTATTAGATAGGTCATTGGTGCCATCTCTGATCTCTTTGTCTCATTTGTTAAGACTCTCGATAATGTTTAGAATTAGGGGTATATGATATGATATGGGCGGCTGATAAATAGCAAAATGTAGTTATTATTATTGGTCTTTTTTAAATTACAGTCAGTAATTATTGGTAACTTGGTGCCCCATTTTTTTTCCATGAGCATGCACTAATACACTGAAAATGGGAAATGTCAGCAGTCTTTCAGTTTCATGGTTTCAGCAGAGAGCACTTATCACTGCAGTGATCTGATTAGCTTAAAGCATATGAAGCAGCAGGTATCTTTAGGGCCAGTGTTCTAGACATAAATAAGGCCTACTCTTTGACCAAGTTACATTACCAGTGGTAAAGCACCATCATCACTACCATCTAGGCTTAGGCTTAATTTCAGCCTTGAGCGGCTCTTGCTCAAGGCTGACTCAAGGCAAATCTCGCTGGTTGTTGGCTGCTTTGTTGGTGTTTAAGTTAGTTCAGTAGATCAGTATTTTGTTCCTGTGGGTGGGCAATATAGCGATATTTTATTGTTATTGTGATAAATTATGTCGCAGTACGCTTTTCTGAGCATATTGTGGATACTTAAAGAATGCTGACTATGTTTCATTATAAAGTGAGCATAATTAAGCCTGTTTAATTGGATCTAGTGGAGCGCAGTTTGTAAAACATTGAATAATAATAATAATAATAATAAATTATTATTATTACTATTATCATCATCATTAGTAGTAGTAGTAATATTATATGATTCCCCTGCCAGGCAACCAAGGGTCCTTTCTGTGTGGAGTTTGCATGTTCTCCCTGTGTCTGTGTGGTTTTATGGGTGGTCAGGTTTCCTCCCACAGCTCAAAGACATGCAGTCAGGTGAATTGGAGATGCTAAATTGCCCCTAGGTGTGAGTGTGTGGACTGGCAACCTGCCTTCTGCCCAGTGAGGGTCCAGCACCCCCGCGCCCTGGAAGAACAAGCAGCTTGGATAATGTGTGTGTGTGTGTGTGTGTGTGTGTGTGTGTGTGTGTGTATTAGAGTATACTCATACGTGGCACTATTTTGTCTGTTCCAGCGTACTAAATCTCAGTGAAACTAAATATGTTGATGTATGTCATGTATTTTAAAAAATTCGTGAAGCATCAAACATCTCTCAGTGGGTAACGCTAGTTTCTCCAAAACAGAGCATTTCACATCAGACCACTCTAAACGACTTTGTTTACATCTTATCCATTTAATTATGGAGAAATTTTGAAATATTGGTGGAATTCTCCCTTAAGTGATATCACATGAATCCAAATGGGATGTAAGGGGCATTTGAGGTTTGTTTTTTTTTAACCAAAGGGAATCCACCCAAAAATTGTATCAGTGCATCCCTAATTAGGATGATCATGCTGTTAGAGCTCTATTCTGGATTGGTTAAGTGATGATGTTACCATGTCTCTTTGTCTCATGCAGTATCACTTTGGGAGGATTTGGTGCTGACCGCTTCTATCTGGGCCAGTGGAGAGAGGGGCTGGGCAAACTCTTCAGCTTCGGCGGGCTGGGCATCTGGACCCTGATTGACGTCCTGCTCATTGCCGTAGGTTACGTGGGGCCAGCTGACGGATCGCTGTACATCTGAGACTTAAAACTGAAAACACTCAAGGTCTCCAATACCGACTTGTTCAAAGACAGTGAGGATTAGGCCGTTTTCAAGCCTGCCTGAGTGACTTTATAGCTGTCCACATGATTCCCAGTCCTGTTAGCACACGTGCGAGCGTCCAAACTCCCACTGCTGTCGATTCCCATCTGCTTGTGCGGAGGGCTCTGGCTCATTGGTTATGCGCTCGGCTCCATGTGCTGCGGAGAGAGGAGGCGGCAGCGGCAGGGGGAAATCTGCGCCCTTCCACGCTCCATGCTGCACACGCTGTAGCGAGAAACACATGTGAACTCGGAGGCTGTCAGGAATTGTGTGACTTTTATTTTCCCGGCCCATACAGACTCTGAGGCTTCAGAGTGAAGCCTACAGACACGTAATGACCACTTCGGCCTACCGGTGGCAGGGAAATGAGGTAACTGTAATTGCAAAAGTAGCCTGACAGACAGATAAATGGACCCCTGTCTCGCAGCTGAGTGCTGTTTCCTGTAGGAGTCATGAAGTCTTCGGGTCTGCGGATGGCTTTTGAAGTGTCTTTTTATTTTGAAAAGGGATAGAAATTACTACAGATGTGTCACTTGTGGATATAAGCACACAGTGTAACATCACAGCTGTACATAAAAACAGTTAATTGTGATAAGGTTGTCTGGATAGGAACTACATTTGTGCCACTACTTGTTCTTTTTTTTCTCTTTTTTTGAATTAAGGCTTATGAAGGACTTGACAAAAGCCAATAGTTATGTGACCACTGCTTCAATTGTTTATTTATTGTTACTCCGTCAGATCTTATTGAGATAAATGGCAAGGTCATTAGGTTTCACGATTCAGATAAATTTGTTCCGCCCAAACCTTGACCAATCATGTGATGCACGAATGAGACACAAGCCTGAAAATAAACCATGTGAAACTGCAAACTGCACTTTTGCTTTGGTCAGTGCCCTGACCTTTGTTCTAAACATTTTCGTTCTAAAGCAGGAAGCTCAATCCTGGTCGTAGAAACCTACCACCCTGCAGAGTTTAGCCCCAACCCTAATTTAACACACCTGAACCAGAAAATGAAGGTCTTTAGGGTCATCTAAACATTAGAGCCAGGTGGGTCACAAATTGAACTCTCCAAGGTGGTAGATCAGCAGGACCAGGATTGGTCACCACTGTTTTAAAGGGACCACAAGAACAGCTGGGAATCAGAGTATGAAATGTCATTCATGGTGGTGTCAGCATTAGATTAAGGTTTATTTTAATGGACATGAATAAAGTCTAGTCTAGAGCAGAATTGCAGTGTCAATGGTGTTTCCATATTAAAAATCCCATTTAGTCTAAGATTAGGCTGAATCCGGCTTATATAATGGGACACCAGTCGTCTACTGAAAAGGGTCATCAGTGAAGAATCATTGAAGGCAGTTTAGTTTCTTTAAGATCCCTGATTAGACTTGATCTGAGTCCTCTATAAGCAGATTTAGCAGGAACATGTTGTAAACAAACTTCTAATAAAAGCTCAAAATATTCCATGGTTGTTGTTTGCAAATCCTTTTTATAGTTATCTACATTATTATCACAGTGAAAATGGGCTCGTGTGTGCCTGTGAGGACCAATTTACAACCGCAGGAAGGAGGTGAAACCTGACTCATATGTCTCTGTAACACTGAGTATTCTCCCAGCATCCTGAATACACTCACAACACAAAACACTGAACCATAAATACGATCCGCGAAGAAGCTACAATGGTTGCTGATAATGTGTTCTTTTTTTAATTTAGCTTAAATTTAGCTATCTTAATGGTTGTTTTCTGTGGAACAGGCTGGCGTGCATCAGTAAACCCTTTAATGTTTTTCATTTGTACCCCGGCATCATGCCGTTTGGAAGTGATGCCTACAGTGAAAGCCAGAGTGAACTCCGTATCACCTCATGAATTCCACACGTGCTTTGGCTCTTCACAACAGCCTGACACTGTTTCTCGCTCAGCCTCCTGGCGCTCTCAGCACTGATGCTCCCTCCATCTGACGCAGGTGGGCCTAAACCACAGAGGCCCACCAGGAATTCTCTTTCTGCAAAACAAAAAAAACACTGATCTATTTGATATAGTAAAGTGAAGAAACCATCTCGTAAAATTCCTGTTTACTTCTTTGTAGACTTTATTATCCCTCAAATGCCTTCCAAGGTACACTAAACAGCCAAAGGTATGCGGATCCCTATTTGAGCTCATTCCAAAACTATGCGACATAATATGGAGTTGACCTCCCTTGTGGCCTCCACTCTTCTGGGATTTTGGAGTGTGTCTGTGGGAATTTGAGCCCAGTCAAAAGAGCATTTGTGAGGTCAGGTACTGATACTGGAGGAGAAGGCCAGGCTTGCAGTTGATGTTCCAGTTCATCCCAAAAGTGATCAGTGGGGCTGGAGCTGTTGTTGCTCGTAGGTGCTTTCATTTCACAATAATAGCACTTACAGTTGGCCAGGGCAGACCTAGCAGGGAAGTGGTTGTCTATGGAAATTGCCTGGCAGTGTGCTTAAATAGGTGTGGCTGAAATGCCTGAACTCAGTAATAAGAAGGGCTGTCCACATACTTTTGACCATATAGCATAGTTACTGACAAACTTGCGTTGTCCCTTATTAAGGAGAGAAACGCTGCCTTGATTTCCAACATGCCTGAGATTCTTTGTTCAGGGGGAGCAGGTTGATCGGGTTAAATCATTATTTGGGCTGTTAGCGGTCATTTGTAAAATTACATTTTTGTTCAGAGCTTTTTTTGCCATTTTTAGTCAATGCCTGGCGCAGTACGCCTCTGCCCAGCACTCGTCAGCACCACTGACCGTTGAGGGCGAAGGTCCAGCCCCATCTCCGCCGAAGTACAAAATAAAAAGCCAGTTCCATGTTTTTTGGCTCATTTTTGCCCAGTGTTAACTCCCTCTGTATGTGCACATTTGGCCCTGTTGTAGGAAGGAGTCAATATAATGTCACTTGGCCTGCTATCAGCATTACTCAATCCCTCCCACTCTCTTCCCACATGCTCATGCTCCAGCACTCCTTGCCCCTCAGCTTCTGACCTATGGTCAGTTTTCTCCTGTAGCGGTTCCGCTTACCAAATCTGGTGCTGGTGTAACGCTAGGCGGTGCACTAAGTCTGAACAGAGTGAACTAGCATTGGCTGAACTTAAGTCAACACAAGGTTGGCTTGAACGAGTTCAGCTCAGGACATGTTAATCTTCATCTTATCTGTGCAGACGACCGTGTCCCAGAACTCTTTGTCCCAGAGGTTTTTCACTCTTTCTTTCCCCCCCAAATGTCATCTAGCATGTCTGTGTGCTTGAGGTTCACCACTGTTTTGCATCCTGCGGTAAACCCTCTGCAGGTCATGCTGGTGTTTTTCTTCTCTTTATGGTCGTCTTTGACACATTTTGTCTGAACTGTTTTTCTTCTTCTTTGGCTTTGCATTGTCTGCTAGTGGCTTAGCTTCTTAAAGGAATCTTTCAGTGAAAACTCGGACAAAACTTGTCCCAAATGCATTATTCGGCCAAAACTTGCACTGGAGCTACGAGGCTAATGTAGCTAACAAGAAATGGAGGGCTTGTGGAAACTACATGCTAAATCATCACACACCTGCTGCAAACTATCACACGTAAACTCAAATAAAATTTGGTTTCTGACCAAATAGTTTTAGCTATGTGATACTTTTGTTGTAATACCTTGTTGTAAAACCACAAAAGCAGGTTGATCCAGAGCAAAACCCTTTTGCTGCTAAAGAGGTACCTCATATGAGGGTAAGGAGGAAAAGGGTCATTCTCCATTTGGAGGGGAAACTTGTCACAAAGGTTGCAGGGCTTAAAAAGATGCCTAAAATATCAGGCACAGCTCCAAAAGTCGGTATGTACATTTACACAGTTGACCTAAGATTAAATAACAGTTCTCCCTTATAATTTCTCTGATTTTTCTTCTTTTATCCTGTTTCATAGTTGATCTGCATCTGTAAAACAGCTCGTCACAAAACCAATTTTCAACCATTTTTAATATAAAACAACATTTTTAAGAGGTTTAACTTGAGATTTTGTATAAAACAGACGAATGTTTACTTTTTATATCATTAATGTTCTACTTCATTAAAAAAAAAGTATGTATTTTATTTTTAAAAATTTATTTGTCAGATATTTTGGTCAGTGGTGTTTTCAGGACTCATGTTAGATTTTAACAGAGTATTTTCAGCTCTGTAAACTGCTTTCTTGGGTCGAGGCTCATCAATTGTTTTGTTTCAAATCCTGTGTGCTGGAGAACAAGGCTAAAAGAAGAAGTGACCAATTATATTCAGACTGCAGTGGCCATTACTCAAATATGTACTTTGTGTTCTGAAGGTGAGAATTATAGTTTTGATAGTGGGCTTATAGTTTGGCCCATTTTTGGCTTATAATAGCTGTAATTACAGCAACATGGGGCAAGAACATAGCACCTCCAGTACCCCGTAGCCTAATGAATTATACCCACAAAGAAAAACTGTATGCAGGGCTTACTGAGTGAACAGAAAACAACCCCATTTCTAAAAAAGTTGGGACGCTGTGCAAAATGTAAAAACAAAATGCAAAAACAAAATGCAATGATGTACAAATCATTTAAACCCTGTATGTAATTGAAAATAGTACAAAGACAACATATCAGATATTGAAACTGGGAAAATTTATTATTTATTGAAAAAAATTTGCCCATTTTGAATTTGATGCCAACAACACAAAAAGTTGGGACAGGGACAACGAAAGACTGGTAAAGTTGTGTAATGCTAAAAAAACACCTGATGGTTAATTAGCAACAGGTCAGTAACATGACTGTGTATAAAAAGAGCATCCCTGAGAGGCGGAGCCTTTCAGAAGTAAAGATGAGGAGGGGTTCACCACTCTGAAAGACTGCACGATCAAATAGTGCAACAATTCAAGAATAACATTTCTCAACATAACATAGCAAAGAACTTTTGCTTTTCATCATCAACAATACATAATAACATTAAAAGATTCAGAGAATCTGGAGAAATCTCTGTATGTAAGGGACAAGGCCAAAAACCAGTATTTGCTGGCCGTGATCTTTTGGGCCCTCAGGCGGCAACTGCATTAAAAAAAAGACATGATTCTGTAGTGGAAATCACTGCATGGGCTCAGAAACACTTCTGAAAAACACTGTCTGTGAAAAAAGTTAGCCACTGCATCCACAAATGAAAGTTAAAACTCTAAAATGCAAAGAAGAAACCAGATATAAACAGGATCCAGAAACGCTACCACCTTCTCTGGGCCCGAGCTCATTAAAAATGGACTGAGGGGAAGTGGAAAAGTGTCCTGTGGTCCCGTGCTTTTTGGAAATCATGGATGCTGTGTCCTCCGGGCTGAAGACCACTCAGCTTGTTATCAGTGCACAGTTCAAAAGCCAGTATTCATGATGGTGTAGGGGGCATTAGTGCACATGGCATGGGTGACATGCACATCTGTTAAGGTACCATTAATGCTGAATGATATATACATGTTTTGGCAACTTGCTGCCATCCAGACAACGCCTTTTTCAGGGAAGGCCTTGCTTATTTCAGCAAAACAATGCCAAACCACATTCTGCATGTATTACAACAGCATTGCTCCGTATTAAAAAGAGCCCGGGTGCTAAATTGGCCTGCCTGCAGTCCAGACCTGTCACCACTGATAACATTTGGCACATTATGAAATGAAAAATATGACAAAGGACACTCTGAACTGTCGAGCAGCTGAAATCCTATATCAAACAAGAATGGGAAAACATTTCACTCTCAAAACTACAGCAGTGTCTCCTCAGTTCCCAAACGCTTACAGAGTGTTGTTAAAAGAGGAGGCGATGAAACGCAGTGGTAAACATGACCCTGTCCCGACTTTTTTGGAATGTGTTGTTGGCATCAAATTCAAAATGGGCATATATTTTTCAAAAAACAATAAAATTTCTCAGTTTCATCATTTGATTTGTTGTCTTTGTACTTTTTTCAATGAAGTACAGAGATTAAATGACTTGCATGGGGTTGTAGAATGTATATAGTTAAACATGATATGCAATAAAGATGTGGGGTGAATTTTTCCCAAAACATGATGTAAAATGCTGTCACTAAGTAGCATCAGTTCAAACCCGTTCTATCAAGCAAACTAGTTAGAAGACTTTTAGGAACTGGACAACTAGTGGCTGTTATTGCATCAGAGGCTCTCTGGTTAGTAATGACTTAGCCATGCAGTTTGCATAGAGCTACTTGGTGCAGCGTATGACTGTTAGCTACATTAGCCTTGTAGCTCCAGTACAAAACTAAAGAAGCAAACTTCAGGCACCAAACCTGTCTTGGCTGATCAGCTACGTTTGGTGTAAGAAAAAAATGGTGTAAATTTTTTCTTTTCATTTATTGTTTCCTTAATAATCCTTATTACCTTAGCACTAGCATTAATGCTAGCCATGTCAAAAAATGAGGCGTTAGATTGGCTTCATCTTTCGAATCAAAGTTCAAAAATTGCATAACCTTTATTCATCAGGACTAATCTCACTGTATGAACGATTTAACAAATTAAAATAAATGGTTAAAAGGGAAAAGGTGAGAACTAAGCGTAATTATGGTGCAGGCCTAGTCACAGCAGATAGCGTGCTAGAGATGAGCAGGGTGAAGAAAAAGCCCCTTAATGACATCACTTACATAAGATAGACCTAATTTGTGTTGCAATAATGTAGCCCGACTGACTGAACCTTCCTCCGCTATCCTAACCTTATTCATCTCGACCCAAACGCTCTTTAAATTCCACCAATCTTTTCATCAGGCTTCTTTTCTGTGGGCGGTTGCTAAGAAACATAAAAATTGCATCTCGCTCTGTGGAATAAATTATCTCAGAGGTAATGGAGCTGAATGATCGCCAGTTTGCAGCCTGTCTCCTTCACACACAACAGTGAGTCTGATACAAACTGAGGTTCCAAAAAACCCTGATAAGCCTGCATCCATCTGTGCTGCATTTCACACGGGCGTGTTTGAGCAGCACCAATCCAGCAGCTTTTCACTGGCACTCTGCCCTGTGGCGATTTAGAAACAAAATGCTTGGGGATAAGTTTAGCACAATAAAAAAAAAGAAGTTTCTCCTTCCTCAAATATATTTGATCAGTTACACTCTTAAAAGAGATGGTTCTTCAAGGGTTCTTCAGTTCTATTTAGAACCATCAGCTCTATATAGGACCATTTACATGCTTAAATGGTTCGCAACAGCACAAAAACACAGATGTGTGTCTGCAAAGGATTCTTTGAGTGTTCATGGTTCTATATAGAACCATTTTCTTTACTACAGAACCCTTGAAGAACCTTCATTTTTAAGTGTGCAGGACCATTTGCATGCTTTAATGGTTTAATAGCACCAAAAAGGGTTCTTCTATTGTTACAGCAACATACAAATGGTCCTTCAAGTGTTCATGGTTCTATATAGTTTACTAAACAGCCCTTGAAGAACCCTTAAGAGTCTACTTTGGCAGTTACCTTAGGTTCTTCTATTGTTACAACAATGTACAAATGGTCGTTTGAGTGTTCATGGTTCTATATAGTATACTAAAGATATAACAGAGATAAGTTTAGCATGATCAAGTTTCTCCCTTTCTCCCGATCAGTTACACTCTAAAAAAAAGATGGGTCTTCAAGGGTTCTTTAGTTCTATTTAGAACCATGAGCTCTACGTAGGACCATTTGCATGCTTAAATGGTTCGCAACAGCACAAAAAAGTGTTCTTCTATTGTTACAACAAAGTACAAAGTCGTTTGAGTGTTCATTGTTCTATATAGTATATTAAAGAACCCTTGGAGAACCTTTGGGTCTACTTTAGCAGTCACCTTAGAGCAATATAATAGAGGTTAGTTTAGCATGATAAAAAGTTTCTCCCTTCTGAAATATATTTGATTAGTTACACTGAAGAGGGTACTTTAGTTCTATTTAGAACCATGAATTCTATATACACTCTTAAAAAATTATGGTTCTTCAAGGGTTCTTCAGTAAAGAAATTGGTTCTATGAAGAACCACGAACCCTCTGCATGATTATAGGGTTATTTGCATCGTGAAAGGGTTCTTCAGATTGTTGGAGAATGTGTCGTGGATGGTTCTGAACAGAACCTTTTTGAAAAGTTGTTCTTCTACTGTTACGATATCAAGCTTGTAATTTCTTTCCGAAGGGTTCTATACAGAACCATCTACAGAACATTCTCCATCAGTCGGAAGAACACTTTCATCATGCAAAGGATTCTTTGAGTGTTCATGGTTCTACACTGAACCATTTTCTTTACTACAGAACCCTTGAAGAACCTTCATTCTTAAGTTGCAGGACCTTTTGCATGATTAAATGGTTTTATAGCACCAAAAAGGGTTCTTCTATCGTTACATCATACAAATAGTCCCTTAAGTGTTCATGGTTCCGTATAGTTTATTTAAGAGCCCTTGAAGAACCTCTAAGCGTCTACTTTAGCAGTTACCTTAGAACAGCGATTACCAGCTTTGCTATCTTTCTGCAGACTTTAGCGCCAACCGGCTCCATCTAATTACTGGCTTCAGAAATCACTGATGTACTGCATTAGATTAGGGTTGGAGGTCAAACCTGCCAGAAGGTAAACCTGTAGTAACAGGGTTGGTGACCACAGCCTTAGAACAGCAATACAGCAGATGGCTAAAAACAATAGCAGCAGCCATCTTGAAGACTGAATTCTGTTCGTATTTTTGTCCATTTTAAACAGTATGTCACAATGTCAGTAACCACATAAGAAAATCTGAGATTTCTCAACAACGTGACACAGTTTGAGGCAAATGTGACTGTTTATGACATGCAGTTAGCACAATGCTAATTGTTGGGCCTTCCCATCCTTTGTTAGCAACATTAGCCTCGTAGCTCCAGTGCAGAACTAAAACAAACTTCAGACAGGGAACGTTTGAGGTTAAGGGGAAAAACTGTGCAAATTATATTCGTTTTGGCCAAAATATTAGATTTAGAGTCAATGTAAATGGGAAATCATGACATTTTCCTTCCATGTTGTGATGTAGCTTTGAGTGAAATGCTATCGGGGTTGGTTTCTCAGCTAGCTTAACTTTTTCACTTGAGGACATGGCTGATGCCAGTGCCCGATGACACTAAACTCCAAAAACATTTTCAAGTTTGCCAAAACCTACTGGACTAGTCCTAAGTGTTCAATAATTCAATGTGCTTTAAATATGACTGGGACATTGGGGACACATATTAGCATTAGAGATATTATTTCTGTAGGGAACAAATGTAGTAAAATAGACATTAGGACAGCAGCTCAGCCTAGCTTAAATATTCTGCTCTGCTGGTGTACAATAAAATAAAAAATTATTTTCATGCATGTTAAATCTAAACATCTGTCCTGTGCTGATATTTAAGCAATGTAACACTTTTACTACTAATAACAACAACTGAGGATTAAGTGTTAATTTCTATAGCACTGTTCGTGCTGCTGGCAGCTCAAAGTGCTTTAGATAGTTGATAAAGCTCAACATTAAAAGAAACTATGGAGTATTAAAGTCACATAAGATCAAATTATAAAGTGTTAAATTTTTATTAAAGGCCAAGTTGTTCAAGTGTTTCAAAGTAAGCACTGAGCTTGACCGTCTAATAGGTGAACTGAGTTCCACAGTTTAGAAGCAGAATAACAGAGGCCTCTCCACATTTTCTAGATTTTATGGCAAGTATTTGCAGATGTAAGCAGCTACTCTGAAGTCATTTAGAGCCTTAAAAACCTTTTAGCAGAACCATAAAATCTCTCCTAAAAGATAGTCAGTGTGGTTCTTTCAAAACATGAGTGATCATGTTCTTTTTCCCCCCCTTTATTAGAATCTGTGCTGCTGCATTTTGTGCAAGTTGTATAGGATGTTTTCTTAGGAAGCCCAGTAAGAGAGAACATTGCAGTGATCAACTCTGCTCAACACGTGGATGAACGAGTTTCTCCACATTGCTCAGAAACAGAAAAGGCTGGACTTCAGCAATATTTCACAAAAGCTACTTCAGTGACTTTACATGCAGGATAAAAAAACAGAGCTGAGAGTTCAAGATCACACCCTGGTATCCTACCTTAGGTTTAACACGCTAAAGAACCAAAGCTTCTGTTTTAGTACCAAACTCTGATCCTTGTTTTTGTAATTTAGTTGTAGAAAAGTACGACATCCACCGAGAAATATGACAGCCTGTCAGAGTCTTGATTCTCAGAAGGATGGAAATGTATAACCATCAGCATAGCTATGAAAACTGGTACGTGTCCTAATGACTAGAGGTAACGTACAAAGAAAAGCAAAAGGCCCTAAAACGGAACCTTAGTTTGGACTAAGCTCTGGCTAGTATATCCACAACTGGGAGTGGCTTTTCCACCTTACTCATATTAGCCTTAGACAATTTGTTAGCTAGTCTTGGACTTCACAAAATGCTGGTGGTTATCCCCAAGCACAAAGCAACAAACAGAACTAACAGAGGCAAAAGAAAAGGTAACAGGTAATAAATCTGAAGCACGGAACATCGGATTGCCATTATTGTGATTTATTTGTACAATAGGAAGCTGTACATTGTCTCTGCTCAGCTGTAAAGGCAAAAGCAAAGCATTTACACGCTGGAGCCAGACACCTCACTACCCCTTCCCTTAAATGCTACACTTGAACAAAGCAGATAGGGCCTCACCTATTGACATATCCCTGCTAGAATAGCAACCTAAAAGAAACCAAAAGTGGTCCAGAAAAGGCAGAAAGAAATTAAAAAAAGCAAATTAAAACTTAAAAGAACAAAAAGAATTCTCTTAAGCGATTACTATTCAATCAAAGAGCAGGGAGAAGTTATGGCCACGGAAAGAGCAAAAGTTTCATCGCTGCTTCTCAGGTGCTCAATGTTTATCGACAAGGCATATGGTGATGTTCACATCAAAACCATGTGCCTAAACCACTTCACACCAACAAACACAGCTACAACATTCACGTTTCATTACAGTCAGAATCGCACCTCATTAGGACCAATGACATTTGGGGCAAAAAAAAAAAAAACAAATAAAAATCCCAGTTTGTCATTTGCATTCAAAAACAGCCCCTTTTTTTCTTAGTATCAATATTATAGTTTAAATCAAGTTAAATTATGACATTCATATAAAGCAAAAACAAAAAAACCCATATAAAAAGGTATAACAAAGACAGACAATGACACTTGGCAGTTCAGTGGTCTTTATGGGCAGAACAGGTCATGACCATTCAAAATGCAGCAGGCTACAGGATGTGAAACTCACTGCTGTAAGGTCCAGTGCTGCTTTTTTTTTTTCCCTGGGTAGTGAGGGTCCTCCCTTTTTAACTCCAGTCAAGTTTGCGTGGCAGCCACCTTGCCCCGCTCATGAAACCCACGTGTCCCGTCGGGGCCCCTGGGGAGCCGCACCACACCCGGCGGGAGCCCGTCCGCATTCTGGATCTTTCGGCCAAGCATGGGGCTCCCCACGGGGCTGCTCTCCTGGCTAGCCACCTGCTTCCTGCGCTGGACCCATGGACTGCCTGAAGGGGTCAGGCTGCTGTCTGAGGAATAGTCTGCCCAGCGGCGGCCTGGCTCCGGGCTCAGCCTGCCTTCGCTAGCCAGGGGAGACTTTCCAGATTGGGGCAGAGCTTTCCTTTGGGCACTGGGGCTAGCCCTGGGGCTGTTCCAGGGGCTGGAGCGGGGCGACAGGTGGAAGTTTGGTGGGCCTCCGCTGGTGGGGCTCAACTTGTTGCAACTGGAACGTGATTTTCGGGCAAGTCGAGGCGAAGTGGGGTTGCTTTCCGTCTCTGAAGAGCTACAAGCTGAATCGTCGTGGTACTGGAGCTCCCGTACTCTGCTGTTTAGCGAACGGCTCTTGCTCATCCCCCCTCCGCCCTCCTCCCTTGGTGACCGCTCCTTTTGCACCTTCTTTTTGGGTGGCTTGGTGCCAATCAGCACCACCTTGAGCCCAAGCAAGCCCTTGCCGTCTCCATTTCCACTCAGATAGGCCTCGTGGGCCCTCATGGCTGCCTCTACCTCCTCGAACTCCACAATAGCGCACTCCTCGCTGCCCAGCTGCGAGTAGCGGCCACTCAGCTTCTTCAGGTCAGCCGGAAGATCTTTCCCAGGTTTCAGCACCCGCACTGAGGCGATGGGGCCGTAGATGCCGAAAGCTTTGAGGAGGAGTTCCATAAGACGCTCCTGCTGAGCAACACCGCCACCAGGGCTTCCATCTCCAGCACCACCTCCTCCTGCCAAAGCCACACCCAGCTCAGGCCAGCGCTGCAGCTCACTCAGGAGCAGCATGCGGCTGGGCAGTGACTCGCTGGCAAACACGGGGACGATCGTGCAGCGCCGAACCTTCCGGCCCTCATCGTTCAGCTCTAGGAGGTTGGACTGGCGCAGTGCATAGGCCGTGGTCCTCCAGTCCCGAGTCAGGTGCTTCACCTGAGACAGAGAAAAATGGATTACTGACTTCCAATTCAATTAGTCATTTAACACCACTTGTTAAGTCCATTTATAACATTAGCATGAATTTACATACATTTGTGACCAATTTCAAACCTCTATCCCTTAGAATTAAACAGGCTGTTGCCATGCTTTTACGACTGGCATGTAAATGACTGTTCTAAATGGCTGGCCTTTACTGTGCCTCGTTTAAAAAGCAGTCCAGGCAAAAAGGACAGAACAAAATGTTAGGTTCAAACAAATCCTCAGTGACATTTAAAAAAAAAGATCAAATTTAACCACTCCTTTTAAATGGAAGGCTGTAATGATCCATTTGCATCCTGACAGACATGAACAGCACAATGTTTAATCATTTTTCCACTCCAATAACTGCTACAGGCTGGCTGCAGGACCACCACATCACTTCAACCGAATGGGCAGGCTAAACTGGCAGGACCAATGTGATGTCACAACCATGATGAACTGAAAATGGGCCATCACGTCTTAGTTTGCATACAGACTAGGGAGCACACAGAATGCTTTGAAATTAATGTTTCAATGCATGTATTTAACGTAACCCTAAAGTCATAATTTAAACAAAAATGTGGTGAATAAATTGTTAAATTTGTTTTATGCTCAAGAAACTACTAAAAAAAATAGCACAGAAGAGTCTCTAAACTAACAATAATGCAAAAATCTATAAATATGCAAGACTATGCAAATTGTAAACACTCCCTTTCCTCCTTGTTTCTAGATATGGAATATTTAAAATTACAATTGTCATTTATATTGATATTTAATATTTCCTGCACAATCCAAACATCTTAACACAAGCTATGGTAGTGCAGGCATGTTCGGTCATCTCATTAGCATAATTTAATATATAACCATGCAAGTCTTTTCTAAGAAAAATATGAAGTCTGCGCTAAAGTAACACCTTTGACAATTCAATATATAAATCATAAGCCTTCTGAGCAGATATATCCATTTAAATGCCACATTTGAGTGCAGGAGGTCTTTAAAAAAAAATAAATAAAAACAAGGACATTTCAATTTATGATATAAGCCCTTTAACACAATGGCCACCACCCTTTTTCCTGGACATAAGCCACTTTACCAAAGTTTATTAGTACCAACTTAAGATTTTTTTTCAGCCAAGAAAGGGACATACAAGCAGGGGATCTGTACAACTACATACTGGAAATTCATCCAGTTCAGCTGATTGTTGCTTGTATGAGTTTGTGGTGCTAGAGACTCTTCAGTATCAGTCCTCCCACTCTCATCCCACTCAAACTGCAGCGTTACCAATCTCAAGGGCCACTCCGCTAGCTCAGCTGTTATCATAACATCTGTTAAATAAGTACAAGCCTGAACGACCCAATTCTAAAGCAGCTCAATCCACCTTCATCACATTTTCTGAGCAAGTTCCTGTACAGTTGCATCAGATAAGCAGGAAGTGGATATAAAAAGGGGAAGTCAGAATGCAGCTTGCAACAGATTGCAAGTTAGAGCTGCTTTAATGCACAAGGGACTGTCACGAACCAAAATTTGCTGCAGCTGCGATACTGGTTTACTGGCACCACCCAGGCCAGACATGTTCTTGTAGAGCATTTACACTGACGTTAACACACTCCACAGCCATATAATCGCTGCTGTCGGAACAAAACCCTGTATCTCTTAGTCGTTTTTCAGTTTGACAGTTGACAAGCCTGTTGCTCTTTACATTGTCTGTAAAATTTCATGATGTATGGACCAAAAGAACAGCCAAAAATGACTTACATTAAAAGTAGTTTTTTTTTTCCTTTGCCTGTAAAGTTACCATTTTGGAGATACGAGATTTTGCTGCGACAACAGCGAGATAAAACTTTCATAAGACTTTAGCATCTGTTTTGTAAATTAATTATGGAATAATCAACACTACTCTTAAGCCTGAAATGATAAGCCAATGTAAAAAATTAAATTTGAAAGTAGTGACCACATCTTGGGCCAATTTCAAACATACGTGAAAGCTGTGTATTTTCTACATTCCATAAATAGCTCCTTTATTTAAGAAATCTGAACTGTACCAAAACAAAGTGTAATTTGAGACTCGATGCATCCCTGAGGCGCAGCCTTTCTGAAACGCATGATTCATAGACCCAATTGGACGGTTTACGCAACAGTTGTCAGCGCTCCCGGATGCGGCCTTTGTTTGTGAGCGCAGATTTGTCACCACTACTAACCTTCTTGAAAGACGTGAGCAGCTTGATGCTGACGAAGCCCAGCTTATTGCGGCGGACATGTTTGAGCAGGAAGGCGTCGTGCTCCAGGTTCTCGTCCGACAGGTAGTACTCGATCTGGGCTACGAGTTTGCGGGTCAACTCAGGGTCCGGTGGCTGCCAGCTCTCCTCTTCCAGCTCTCCTCCGCTCGTTCCAGCACCACTGAGAGAAAACACAAGGAAACAATGACTTCCATTTTCTACTTGGCCAAAGTGTGTGTAAGAGCTGTGGTGTCGAAGTAATTCTAGTGTTTACATTTTAAATATTTTATTTTTTCCTCAAGATCCACTTCCAACATTGTTTTATGCCCCAAAAATCCTCACAATTCATTTTTACATGACCATTTTCCAGCCTTTCTTAGCCCTTAGAAGTAAACAGCCTGTTTTTTTTCATACTTCAACCATGTTTATATATAACTTTGAACTCCAAGTGAGGGAAATTGTTTCCCCATGATATGGGCCATTTAAGATCAAAGCATTTCATCCCAACCATGCTGCTGCTCTTGTAACAAGTGGCTTACTCTTAGAAGGGACACTCAATACAACTTTTATCATAGAGGACTCAGGAAGCATTTGATTCATGTTAATGCAACACAATTGCATTTTGGACTACTTCTACTAATGTTTTCAAAGAGAATGACAGGAAGTTATGACCATGAAAACACACAAAGGAATGAATCAGATCAAATATTGGGCTATTTTTTCCCCCCTAAAAGACTCATTAAGCCCAAGTCTAGACTAAAAGCAATTTTAATGGAATTTAACAACTGATATTGCAATTTAGCTCAAGACTGTTTAACCCATGTCCATGAAACCAGCCCAGTGCAATTAAACATGACAAACATACAAGACCAAGTCAGATCCATTACGATCATGAAATTTTAGCTGATTAAATATAAATAACAGCAATTAACAATTTTTTTAAGTAAATTAAATTGTACTAAAAGCACAAGCCTCCAGTGGCCAGACTGGCTAATTATCTTGTTTTCTAGCTGCTGATAATTAGTAGCATCCAACTGATGATCGACTAGGCTCAGCTTTTGCCTTCCAAGGCATGTGCTTAGGCACGAGAGCACCATTTCAGAGAAGCTCGCCATTCACTTTTCATTTTGGGCCAATTTCAGTCCATCGATAAAGCCACACCTGAGCCTTTTTAGATCACCTTAAGACCCTCTCCTCTTCTAGAGAGGCTGGACTGCCTGTCATTTCAGCCACAGGCCTGTCAATCACCACACAGCTACAACTATCACCATTCAAAACAAACTTATCCACGACAGTACAGAAGATGTGATAAAGCTGTAATATAAGAAGCAGATCAATAATACAAAGCACAGAGCAGGTACACTTATTATTGCTATTACAATATGGTAACAGCATTCAATACTATCTATAGCTTACATTTAAAAATTGTTTATTTTATAATGATCAGTATTACAGTACATGTTAAGGTGAGGCTGTTTCACTTACTTGCCCTGTTCTCTTCTATTCTACAGTATATTTTACAGAACACCACTAATGGTGGAGTAACTCTTAGCTGAATTCATTTTAGTTCCTTTATGTAGTGAAACTGCACCATTGTGGTTGCGATTTGTTCCCTTCAACACATTCACAAAAGTTTGCTAGGCAGCTTCTACAAACAGTTTGGTTATTTGCACCGCACCTTTGCGTCATTAAGGTTCCTGCTCAGTCTACCCATCACACAAGCTGCCAATCAGGAAGTGACGACTGACCTCACACGGTGACCACTGAAAAAAGCGCGATGATGGAGTCTAGTTTGTTTGTATACATGCTGTTGGAACAAAACCTCATCTGCATTTTTGCCAATTTTTGAGTTTGACATTTGAAGATACCTGTTGGCCTTTACACTGTATGTAAATGTAATGAATGATGGACAAAAAGAAATGGCCTTAAATGACTTGTGGGGGGGGTGGGGGGGGTGGATCTGGTTCCACTGATCACTAAAAGTGTGTTTTTCCTTCTCCTGTAAAGTTACCATTTTGGAGATACAAACAAAACACAGTCAGTGTGAGAGACAGCTCAAGCTTAAACATTACTCTCTGCCCTCTAAAGGTGTCAATCAAAAACAATTACTCACAGCTGCCCTGTAAAACGTACTACAGTACTAGTCAGAACTGTCAGAAGGAGCCATAAACTTAGGATAAATGCACATTATAATTCATGTTATACAAATTTGCTTTGGTCAGCTTAAATAATTATAATCAGCTCAAATCATTGTGATTGGGCAATTATGTAATAGTTGTGATAGACCTGCTGAAATATGAGGCTGTGAGTACTTATGTTGAAATGTTTTCATATCTGGTTTGAATCTTGTGCATTTTAGCACTTTCACTATCCTGGTATTCTGAGCTGGAATCATGGACCTGGATTAAGCCACATAAGCCCCCTGGCAACTACAGCTGCCCATCTTGCTTTCCTGCGGAATCTAGTCATGTTGCCTTTTATATACATTCACATTAGAAATAATGTATGAATGGTTTTACAAAAAGGGAAAATCAATGTTGAAAATTTGGGCACAAATGGGTTCTTTGCATTCTGTGACTGGTTCTTAACAATAGTGGAACCCTTACTGGTTCCATATAAAACCATTATTTAAAAAAGGTTGTTAAAGATCCATAAAGACATTTAAGAATTCACTGGTTCTTCAAGTCATGATTCTATCTAATACACATTCTCAAAAACAATTTAAGGGTTTCTTTAGTAAAGGAAATGGTTCTATAGATAACCATGAGCACTCTGCATGCTTAAAGGGTTCTTCAGGTTCTTCAGATTGAGAATGTGCTGTAGACGGTGCCAAACAGAATCTTTAGGAAAAGGGGTCTATATAACACCCAAAAGGGCTGTTCTACTGTGGCTATATCAAGCTTGTAACAAATAGCAGAACCTTTTTGGGTGCTATATAGAACACTTTTCAAAGAGTTCTGTATAAAGCCATATAGAACACATTCTCCATCAATCTAAAGGCCCCTTTCATGATCCAAAGAACCCTTTAAGCATGCAAAGTGTTCATGGTTCTATATAGAACCACTATTTACTAAAGAACTCTTCAACAATCATCTTCAGGGGTGTTGTAACAACAGAAGAACCCTTTCTAGTGCTATACAGAACCATATACAACATTTTCCATCAATCTGAAGGACCACTTCACAATGCAAAGAACCCTTTAATCATGCAAATGGATTTATATAGAACCACAGCCTTTACTAAAGAACCCACGAAGAACCATCCTCAAGTGTACACACACTAAATTACAATGTCAGTGCTGTTTTACCTTTAAAAAGCCCTTTAGCCCTACATACTAGCCATGCTGTATTAACTCAATCATACAGCACTCTGCCCAACATCTGATTTGATTTAAAATGCACTCTGAATAAATCTCATACGATCTGACAGCAGTAAACCAGCCAGAAGTCGGTTTTGGCAGCAGCTACATCACACCACCATACCCCCTCAGAGGGGGCCCTGCTAAGCCGACTGCCCCCTCACAGATTCACAAAAGATTCCTCCGCACTGCCCACAATAACACCACAAAGTGTCCGGCAAGCGCGGACACACAAGCCAAGACCTCTCCATCTGATGACAGCCAAGTGACGGGTTGAGCACATGGCGCTCCAGGGACCGCCACACTCCAAAATCCACAGCCGCAGGGGAGAGCTCTCGAAAAAACAAACCCGGTGCTTCAATCAGTTCACTATTAGCCTACAATTAAAAGGGTCCCGATTGCCATTGCTGAAGGGCTTGCCCACTCGACGGATAGAAACAAAGTCGGGGAAATCAAATTAAACTGATGACTCATCGGCTTTGCAGCGTCCTCCCACGCCCTTTAAAAAAAGGGCTGGACTGAGCTGACTGAAAACGCTGCCTCTCAGTCAACAAGTGGAGCGATCAGCCTTGGCTGGGAATGAGGGTGTGGGGGCCCTTTTTAGACCAAAAAAAATAGAGGAGCTCGTCAGGAAACCTCCTACACTGCAACAAGCACAAAGACGACAATTAACTGGGCCAACAAAGCCTAAAGCCTGTTGACGCAGTGTGTGAGGAATGTGGGTGGTGTAGACTATCCTAGGACAGCGTTCCCCCCTCAAGTCCACCTGCACTGCAGCTCGTCTCCTCTGCACTCGAGTCACATTAACAAATCATCGGGCCCTTCATGAGCTAAATCGGCTGTGCCGGAGCGAAGAAAGGCACAAAGCTGCAGTGCAGGTGGGCTACAGTATTGCAGCTGGGGGATATTTATACTGAATAGGCATCTTGCAACAGCAGTATTTATGCACAAACATGCACTTAACTGCAATGTATCATTTACTGGGTGCTTTGAAAATGGTTCCCCTTTCTGGAAATGTGTCTGGCTGATGTACAATGACATGCAATATTCCCTTAATTCATTAGCAGAGAGCAAAACAAGCCAATCAGATTAATGCAAGTTCACAAGACACGCTTCTTGGAGTACCAGTGTGCAGACAGTACACTTAGTAAGGCAAACTCATCTGATACCATGCTAAATTTGGAAGACTTTGATATTAATTTTTAGGAATACTGCCCAGCAGCACAGCTGGAAACTCCCATCCCGGCCTGAATTCCTCAGTAATCTAACACACTTGTGATAACTTGCCAGCCGCCTGAATAAGTACTACAGACAGCCGTAGCAAGCCAAGCAGGCATGACGCAGGGGAATTAGAGCAACAGGTCTGGGTGCCATTTCACCCTTAGCTGACAATGGGCAGCAGGTGTTTACGTCAAAGGGATTACAATGCATTACAAAGCATAGAGCCACAAAGCACAGGAATGCTTTTTAGAAACCTCTTCATCAGTTAATGTGCATCAGACATCTTTGAACAGTTAAAGTCCGTTTTTTTTTCTTCAGAAATGGGAGATGCACAGCTGGAGTTGCTCCCATATTTGTTGGCCCATGTGATGCATTTCAAGTCCAGAGATCAAGTTTGGAGGGCATGATTTTGAAGTTGGCTAGCAACAGCAGCTCCTCGACCAGATGCATGTTGAAAATGCAAAAATACCTCCAATCTAAAGACCCTTTCATGATCCAAAGAACCCTTTAAGCATGCAAAGGGTTCTACGTAATTAAATGGTTAAGATGTAGTCATTCAGAGCGGTTTGGTGTGAAGTGCTCTGTACTGTTCACAGTGGTGGTGATAGGAACCAGACGTCAGACGAGTTTAATGCCTATAAAAAGCTTCCTCATAGAAAGTTATCACACAAAATGGTTATGAATATGCTGACTGATGCCTGAGACGCTGTTTCAATAGTTTTGTGAAGATTTGGCCTAAAATGTCTTGTTGATCCATTTATTTGGACCTAATCATGGCAGAGGGGTACATGCATGGCGCTGTAAGGTAAAACAAGAGTACGCAAAGACTTGAGTATTTTACCGTCATCAGCATTATATGTAAAGACTCAGAACACATGTAGGTTCACTGGAGGTTTTGTACAATAAATTAAGTGGTTATATTTGTGTTGTAGACATCGTGGCCCCCGTTTCTGGCTCCTATCATCGAAATGAGTCTCTACAATCAAATCAAACCACTCTTAGTGACTTCGTTTACGTCAGTTCTTCTGAAATTTTGGAAAACTGGTGGAATTCCCCTTTAAGAACGGTTTTCTTCTCCTATACAGGAAGTTGCTCTTTCAGACATGAGGTTTTCTTGCGATAGCAGTGACGCCTAATAACTACTTATGGACAATATAGACAAAAGGTGGACAGACACGCGTTTATGTTCCCCCACCCACTTCAGTTTCGGACGTATTTGCATGCAACACAAAGTCACGCTAGTTCAGGAGACGTAAGTCTGCTTCTCATTAGAATCTCACCGTTCCACCTTAAATGCTGCAGCAGAACGTAACTGCTGCACCATTTAAGGTGGACCGGGTAAATTTCAAGGTGGAACCATTCAAAGAGGAACGCGAGAATTTAAGGTGGAACACGAGAAAATTAAGGTTGAACCATTTAAGGTGGATCCAGAAAATTTAAGGTGGACCCGGAAAATTCGAACAAGACGCTGGCGAACAGGAAGCCAAGTTCAGCCTCGCTCACGCCGCTGAAGATCGACTCGAACACCTATGAAACCACAAATACAGGCTACTTTTGGCTGTATTAGGTTATACGAGGTTATGTACGAGTTTCCGCCCCCCCACCTGGACTTCTCGTGCCTCGCCAGCTCGTCCTCGCTGCAGCTTCCTCCGTGGAGCTCGGCTCGCCCGGAGCAGTCCAGCGACTCTTCCTCGTCGGGCTCCTCGTCCTCGGCCGCTTGGATGGCCACGGTGATGGTCACTCGCGTGCCCACGTCCCCGGGCTCCATCTCCGCCGTCTCGACGGCGTTCATGCTCGCGCTGGGTTCGGAGGAAGCTCGGGCTCTCGGGAGGAGCGCGAGGCGCACGGCCTGCCAGAGCTCCCGGATCCCCCTCCACGCAGAGCCCGCGGGACTGGAGGAGGCAGCCGCTCGCGAGCCGGGGCTAGGTGCTGGAGGAGGAGGAGGAGGAGGAGGAAGAAGAGGAGGGCGGGCGTCGTCTTTAAGAGGCTTTGCGCGTTTGAGACGTGGCGAGTCGTGGAGCTGCTCAGGCCCGGCCCACCAGCATGAGCCCGCCTGCAGCCAGGAGGGAGGCAGCAGGAAGGAGAGCAGGCGGAGGAAAACCTTCACCAGCGCCTGCATGCTTTCACACTTATTCTCTTTATTTCTCTATTCAGTCTTGAAGGGTTGGCCGCTGCCCTTAGCGCGTGCCTATATACACCTGAGGAAAACCTGTCCATTGTTTGCACGTGAAAGCAATCAAGCAGCGCGCGGACGAGGCTCGAGTCCACTAGATAATGCAAATTGATTAATAGGCTTTGGCACTTGGGAAGGGATTTGCTGTTGGGCTCAGACAAAAATAAAACAGCCCATTTATTGAGCTCCTGAGGTGCCATTGCGGAAAATAGGAAGCGTTTGCGACAGTATTGCGTTCCCTTACAGTATTTTTGCATTCCCGCAAACGCAAATTAATTCAAAAGAACGCAAAATCATTGCGAGGGAATGCAAAATAATTTCAAGGGAACGCAAAATTATTGAGAGAAAAAAAAAACATTTGCAACAACACTGCATCCCCTTGCAAAATTTTTACATTCCCTCGCAAGTGTTTTTTTTCGTTGCGTGCAAAATCCATTGCGTTCATGAGGGAATGCAAAATTATTGCGAGAGAGCGCAAAAACGCGAGGGAATGGCAAATTTATGTGAAGGAACGCAAAGCCGTTTTGAGGAATCCAAATTATTGCGAGTGAAAAAAACTTTTGCAACAGCATTGCATCACCTTGCAAAATGTTTGCATTCCCTCGCACATGTTTTGTGTGCAAAATCCAAATCACTATTGTGCGGGAACACAAAACTATTGTAAGGGAATGCAAAAATATGGCAAACGAATGCAAAATTATTACGAGAGAAAACAAAGCCATTACAAGGAAATGCAAAATTATCTCAGGATCTCGTTCCCATGCCTTACTATGTCGTGGCCACAACTTAATTATCTCATTCCCACACCTTACTAAGTCATGGCCATGAATGAGGATCTCGTTCCCATGCCTTACTAAGTCTTGGATATGCATTAGTATCTCCTCCCCACACCTTACTAAGTCATTCCACAACATAATTATCTCATTCCCACGCCTTACTAAGTCTTGGCCATGCATTAGGATCTCCTCCCCATACCTTACTAACCCTTTCCATGAAATTATTATCTCATTCCCACGCCTTACTAAGTCTTGGCCATGCATTAGGATCTTGTCCCCAAGCCTTACTAAGCCATGGCCATGACTTCATTATCTCATTCCCACACCTTACTAAGTCTTGCCCATGCATTAGGATCTCGTCCCCACTCCTTACAAACTCGGGGTCATGGCTGAATGATCTCATTCCCACACCTTAGTAAGTCTTGGACATGCATTAGAATCTTGTTTCCGTGCCTTACCAATTTGTGGCAACAACTTAATTGTCTCATTCTCACTCCTTACTAAGTCGTGGCCATGCATTAGGATCTCGTTCCCACACCTTACTAAGTTGTGGCCACAAATTATTTTATACGGGATGTCATCAGCAGGGCTCTGTAGAACTAAAAGGAATCTTTTTTTTTCTTTTTCTTAATCACTATCATCACCAGCATTACATGCAAAAACTCATAAGACTCGTGTATCTTCACTGGTGGTTTTGGACCGTAAATAAAATGGCTATATTTGTGTTGTAGACATGGTGACCCCTGGTTCCTATCACCACCACTGTAAAGAAACCTGAATCTCTACAATCAACCATTTCACATCAAACCACTCTGAATGAAATTACACCTCTTGAATTATAAAACGATTTTAAAATAGGGGTGGAGTTCCCCTTCAAGGCCTCTAAAGGGTACCTCACAGAAAACTAGTTCACTAATATGCAGGCTGATGCCTGAAACATTGTTTTATGACACTTTTGACATAAGATTTTATCCTAAAACGTTTGTTTTTAAAAGCCATATGGTGGACGGGGAACACACAGTGCACTGTAAGGCAAAATAGTCCCCGAATAAAAGCCGGTTTTCTGTATGTCCACTATTTTGCATCACATATCAAGAGGCAGAAGACGTGTAGGTTCACTGGTCATTTACAGTAGTAAATAAAATGGCTGTATTTTTACATACCTGGCTCATATCACCACGGTAAGTTTCTCTAGAGTGCACCGTTTCATATCAAACCACTCTGAATGACTTTGTTTACATCTCCACAATTAATTTATGCAAAAAAATTCCCTTTTCTGGCTAACAGAGGAAAAAGACTCCAGGCTTCTAAGCACTCCATTCATAAATATGCAGATGCAGCCCAGTTCTTAATGGCAGACCTGTGAGTAGCTGTACTACATACAGTGGCTTATGGCCGCGGTCGTGAAGCTGGCGTGCGCTGCCTGCCAAGAGAGATTTTGCCGCTGGTGTTTTTCTGGTGACTCATTCATGCTCTGACCGCAGCCTCTCCACTTATTGATGGGTCTGCCTCCAAAGACGTGAGGCGATGCTGCTGCAGCAAGTCAGTTCCTGTGTGACCTGCATCCTGATGTGCAGGAGCAAGGCTGCTGCAGACAGACAGACAGGCAGGCAGGCAGGCAGACAGATGTGCGCAGGCTGGTGCAACTGAAAAGGAATCATCTGAAAGGAGATGCATCCTTTTGTCTGCATGGTGAAGTCTAATGGCATGTAAATGTGACGAGCACAATTAGTGAGCGTTCACGGACAAAGGCAGCTGGGCTCTTTTGTTAATGCTCTATTTATTCATGCATGTTGGCTGGCGATGCTTGATCGGCCTCCTCCAGGACCCAGATTGACGTGTTGATTGTGACAGAAGGATAACTGCACAGGCAGTGACTGACCGCTGGCATTGTTGTGCTTTTGTGCTGCTCCGGCACATGTTATGTTGCTGTGGCAGTACTGTGACCTTCAACCCTTCTCCTGCGTTCAGATCTTCCTTTTGATGGTGTGTTGCTTAGCTGTATATGTGTATGTGTGAGGATGCAGGGGGGAGGGGGGTGCAGCGCTGCACGTCCCTCCCTCTGACTCAGTCAGGATATTTATAGACTCCTGCACCCAAGAGAGGCCGGCCAAGTCCCCATGTATAATGCATTACAACAGACAAATTGCAGTGATCCCTGTCTTAGGAGTGTATGTGTGCTTATCAGAGAGGGAGAGAGAGAGGGAGAGAGAGAGTGAAGAGAGAGAGAGAGAGAGAGAGAGAGAGAGAGAGAGAGAGAGAGAGAGAGAGAGAGAGAGCGTGTCTGTGTTAATGTGTGAGATTTCAGAGATTCGTATAATCTCCTTAAGTCCTGCCCTCAGGCTAACAGCCTCTCCAAGGTGAATGAGGAGAGCGCTGGCTGATCGTTTTGGATAAGGGAGCAATTTCCTGAATGTGATGAACACAGAACTAATGAGATTTAATAGCCAGTGGTCAAAATGATAACTTACCCGCATGATTGACTTAATATCTCAAAATATTCACTTACTTTCTTGATATATTGACTTAGTATCTCAAAATAATGACTTAAAATACTGACTTAGTATCTCATATTAATGACTTACTTTCTCTATATGTTGACTTAGTATCTCAAAATAATGACTTTATATGTTGACTTAGTATCTCAAAATAATGACTTACTTTCTTGATATATTGACTTAGTATCTCAAAATAATGACTTACTTTCTTGATATATTGACTTAGTATCTCAAAATAATGACTTACTTTCTCGATATGTTGACTTAGTATCTCAAAATAATGACTTACTTTCTCTATATGTTGACTTAGTATCTCAAAATAATGACTTACTTATAATTAAGTAATTGATATAATTAAGTAATTATAATTGAGCACCCGAGCCGAGAGGGAACGAGAGCCCACCGCTCCGCCTCCTCGTCACCGCCCCCAGCTGGGGCGCATGCCACATATAGTACTACAAAAGATTCACTTAGTATTTCAAAATAATGATTTACTTTCTGAAAATATTGACTTAGTGTCTCAACATAATGACTTATATCTCATAATAATGACATACCAACATAATTACTACTCTCTTGAAATTACATAGATCATTATTTTGACATAGAATCTTAAAATCATATGAAAATTAGTGAAAATATTTTAGTATTTTAAGCCATTATTATGACAAAGTAAGCCATTATTATGACAAAGTAAGCCATTACTTACATAATAAGTCATTATTTAGAGACAGTAGGTCAATATTTTGAGAAAATTAGTCATTATTGCAAGATGCTAAGTTAGTATCAATTGTTTAAGATACTAAGTCAATACTAAGCGATTATAATAAGAAAGTAAGCCATTATTTGGAGAAAGTAATTAATTGTTATAAGATACTAGATCAATATTTTAGGAAAATTAGACGTCAATTAAGGAAGTCAATTACTTAAGTCATTACTATGAGAATGTGAGTCATTACGTTCAGAAAAAAGTGATTATTTTAAAACAGTAAGTCAATATTTTGAGAATATAGTGATTATATTTTCTTTTTTTTTAATTGACTGTGAGTGATTCATTCCACTCAAATGAAGCTCTGCCCACAGCTGTCCATTGATAATGTATTAGAAATGTATTGTGTATTGTGCTACTGGAGTTTTTAACAGCCCAGTGTCGCTACTGAACTAAGAACCAAAAATATCCAGCCAACAGTGTCCTGTGGGCAGCGTCCTGTGACCACTGAAGGACTATTGGTCCTTTAGTTGGGAATTGAATTAAAACATTGATAGCAGATGTTTGGGTGATATCACCAATCCATCCAAAATGGCTATTTTACAAGGGGGATGACTAATTTTACAAGGGGGATGACAAACACCAACAGCAGCAACAGATGAGCTACTGTCTCAGACTGTCCACAGTGTCTAATAAAAGTGGGCAGTGAGTGGACGCAGTGTTTAAAAAATCCAGCAGCACTGCTGTGTCTGATCCACTCAGGCCAGCACAACCAACTCTAACACACCACCGCCACTTCAGTGTCTCTGCAGTGCTGAGAATGATCCACCACCCAAATAATACCTGTTCTGTGGTGGTCCTGTGGGGGTCCTGACCACTGAAGAACAGGATGAAAGGGGGCTAACAAAGTATTCAGAGAAACAGATGAAACAAAGTGTACCTATGGTAAGTGGAGCTGATAAAATGGACAATGAGTGTAGAAACAAGGTTTTAATGTTATGGCTGATCAGTGTCTGTGGCTGCAGTAAGGTATTTGTGAGGGGAGGCCACCCCTGCTTCCCCTCACAAAAAAACACCCCAAAACAGTTGTAATTTTTCAAAATTTCATTCCATATTCAAGATACATCATCAGAAGGATGGCTTCCTAGACATTACACGGAAAAATCTCACTCTAGGGACTGCTGTGGGAGTATTGTAGGAAGTGAGTAAGCATGTTTACAACCGATGGTTAAATTTCTGTTTCAGCTGGATCGGCCTTTTGACCACAAATGAGTAGTATGAATGATTCTACATAAACACATAGTAGCCTATATGTCCAAGTAAACACCGCAACATCTTTGAAATACCCAGTGTCCCTCTGTAACTATATTTAACAAGAAAATACAGCCTAACTGGAAACACCCGTAGCAGTAAACCTGTCCAGGTCAGGTGTTTGTGAGTGTGCAAGGAAGATGAGTAATCACACTCTCCAAAGCTGAACACACCCATTTAATGGTGGGTCACTGACATCACAGTCCTCCATTACTTTACTATGAGAACACCAACAAAACGTTGAGCTAACGCCCAAAAACCATCTGCCTTCTTCCCGGAACTCTCGACTGTGTTCGCTGTTTCTATTCGGAGCGTATACTAGGGGAGGCAGGTTGCGCCCGTAACCAATGGTTACCAGTGAGGCGAAGCTGGAGAAATGACAACGGTGTTTAAAATAACGATAAAATACGTAAAAATATGTTACGATAATTGTGTTTTTGGGTTTATTGCTATGTATTAGGAACGGGTGAATCAGTATGAACGCGCTTCACACGAATTTAAAGCGATGCAGAGCACAAATTCACCCTTGAATACAGAAAAGGGGCGAGCGAGTCGCTGCTTGTCAGTTCAGTCAAATAATTAGCGAGTTTTTATTTCGTTGAGGGAAATTTATATGAATTATTAAGCAACTGTTTGTCGAAATGCGGTCTCATAAACAGCAAGGCAACACCCCAGGACGCTTTTTTACACCCACGGTAAGAAGTGACCACAGTCATGTGGTGAAATCGCTCATGAACAATAGCTGGTGAGGCTGAGGCTTAAAGGGGAGTTCCACCGATATTTTAAAATTTCTGCATAATTCAGTGGTTGAGAAGTAAACAATGTCATTCAGAGTGGTTTGTAGATGGTTCTGTATAGAACCATTTTAAAAGGGTTTTATATAGCACCAAAAAGGGTTCTTCTATTGTAACAAGCTCCACACTGAAACAATAGAAGAACCCTTTTTGGTGCTATATAGAACTGTTTTGAGAAAGGTTCTATTGAGAGCCATCTGAAGAACACTTGTGATGCAAAGAACCAACAAAAGGCAACAACCCAGGACGCTTTTTTACACCCGCGGTAAGAAGTGACCACAGTCATGTGGTGAAATCGCTCATGAACAATAGCTGGTGAGGCTGAGGCTTAAAGGGGAGTTCCACGGTTATTTTAAAATTTCTGCATGATTCAGTGGTTGAGATGTAAACAAAGTCATTCAGAGTGGTTTGATGTGCAGAGAAACTCACAGACTCAGATTTCTTTGCAGTGGTGGTGATAAGAAACAGGGGTCACAATGTCTACCACGCAGATGTAACCATTTTATTTAAAGTCTACAAAACTGTTATTGAACCTATACGTGTCTTCTGATTTCTATATGTAACCCTGATGATGGTGAAACAGTGGACAATCTGAAAAGAAATTTCTTTGGGGACTATTTTGCCTTAGAACATCCTTTATGTATCCCTCCACCATGAATGGAATAAAATAAATGGATTCAAATACATTTTAGACCAAAGCTTTTTCACCAAGCTACTGTAAAACAATCTCTCAGACATCATAATTATTTCATGTAATACTTTCTGAGAAGAACTTAGATGCGTTGAACTCTCCACCACTGCGAACAATTCTGATTCTATAAGTTTCTCCAGAGCTGAGCATTTCACACTAACTAAACCAGTCAGAATTAATTTGTTTACGTCTTAACCATTTACTTATGTTGAACTTTTGAAAGAACGGTGGAGTTGCCCTTTAGAGCTGAGTCAGAGAAAGTGCCCAATATAACCATCACCCAGTCTGAGCCAGCTACTGTTCACAAAACCACCCACCTGATTGGCATTTTATTATGTAGATATACAATTACAGTGTCATGCTTTGAATATCTCAACCATTTAAAGGGACACTTTGACCAAAATGAAAACGTAACTATCACTACATCTGTTGTAAACATGCCTGTTCGCCTCCTACAGTGGTGCCGCTGTAGTCTTAGAGTGAGATTTTCCATTTTAAAAACTAGGAAAGACCCCCTTCTGATGATGTATACTGAAGGTAGGAGGAACTTTTGGCTAATGCAGAAACGAGCTAACTTAATGCTAGGAAGCCAAATATCAGTGTCTTTATTTATTAGCTTATACATTAAAGGCTATGCAGTCAGAATTTTTTTTATGGCTGTGGGGTTGGTTTTTAATGGTTGTATGATGCATTTGTGTGGGCATTGAAGTGAGAGAACATCAAGGGACGAAAACACAAAGGATATAATGAATTCTGTCAAACTGATGAAGCTAAGGGATACCATGCTGTGCTGCACACTAGAAAAGATGGTTCTTCAAGGGTTCTATAGTAAAGAAAATGGCTTTATGTAGAGCCAAGAACACTCAAAGACCCTTTCTCAAAAGGGTTCTTCAGATTGATGGAGAATGTGCTGTAGATGGTTCTGTATAGAACCTTTTTAAATGGGTTTTCTATAGCACCAAAAAGGGTTCTTCTATTGTAACAAGCTTCCATTTAATCATGCAAAGGGTTCTTTGAGTGTTTATGGTTATGTACAGAACCATTTTCTTTGCTGAAGAACCATCTTTAAAAAGAGTGTACAAAATAGTACATAATATAGAAAATACAACCCTATTTCCAAAAAAGTTGGGACGCTGTGCAAAATGTAAATGAAGACAAATGCATTGGTGTGCAAATCATTTAAACCATATATTTAATTAAAAATAGTACAAAGACAAAATATCAAATGCTAAAACTGAGAAATTTTATTGTTTCTCAAAAAATCTATGCCCATTTTGAATTTGATTCCAACAACACGTTCCAAAAAAAGTTGGAACGGGATGTTTACCACTGAGTTTTCATCACCTCTTCTTTTAACAACACTCTGTAAGCGTTTGGGAACTGAGGAGACACTGCTGTAGTTTTGAGAGTGAAATGTTTTCCCATTCTTCCTTGATATAGGATTTAAGCTGCTCAACAGTTTGTATTTCTCGTATTTCTATGTGCCATATGTTTTTAGTGGGTTACAGATCTGGACTGCAGGCAGGTCAGTTTAGCCCCTGACTCCTTTACTATGGAGCCATGTTGTTGTAACACATGCAGAATGTGGTTTCACATTGTCTGGCTGAAATAAGCAAAGACGTTCCTGAAAAAGGCGTTGTCTGAATGGCAATTGTTGTCAAAACATGTATATATCATTCAGCATTAATGGTGCCTTCATAGATGTGCACGTCACCCATACCATGTGCACTAATGCCCCCCTATACCATCATGAATACTGGCTTTGGACTGTGCACTGATAACAAGCCTGATGGTCTTTAGCCCGGAGGACACAGTGTCCATGATTTCCAAAAAGAATTTCAAATGTTGATTCGTCGGACAACACGACACTTTTCCACTTCGCCTCAGTCCATTTTAAATGAGCTCAGGCCCAGAGAAGGTGGCAGCATTTCTGGATCCTGTTTATATATGATATCTCCTTTGTGTTTTAGAGTTTTAACTTGCATTTGTGGATGCAGTAATGAACTGTGTTCACAGATAGTGGTTTCCAGAAGGGTTTCTGAGCCCATACAGTGATTTTCAGTACAGAATCATGCCTGTTTTAATGCAGTGCCGCCTGAGGGCCTAAAGATCACGGCCAGCAAATACTGGTTTTTGGTCTTGTCCCTTGCATACAGAGTTTTCTCCAGATTCTCTGAATCTTTTAATGTTATTATGTACCGTAGATGATGAAAAGCAAAAGTTCTTTGCTATTTTATGTTGAGAAACGTTATTCTTGAATTGTTGCACTATTTGATCGTGCAGTCTTTCACAGAGTGGTGAACCCCTCCTCATCTTTACTTCTGAAAGACTCCCCCTCTCTGAGATGCTTTTTTATACCCAATCATGTTACTGACCTGTTGCCAATTCATCTTCAGGTTTTTTTGTTTGCATAACACAACTTTACCAGCCTTTTGTTGCCCCCCGTCCCAACTTTTTTGGAACATGTTTCTGCCATCAAATTCAAAATGGGCATATAGTTTTTCAAAAAACAATAACACTTTATCATTTTCAACATTTGATATGTTGTTTTTGTACTATTCTAAAATAAATACAGGGTTTAAATCATTTGCACATCATTGCATTTTGCTTGCATTTACATTTTGCACATCGTCCCAACTTTTTTTGGAAATGGGGTTGTATTTTAAATTCTAGGTTTAGCTTGAAATGCCTCAGTGAGGAAACACACTATTGTTAGATAGCGTGCTGACCTCACCATATGTACTTCATAGCATGATGTGCAGTGGCCTCAGAAAGTATTTGGACATTTATGTTATACTTAAAAATGCATAAAATTCGTTGGAGTTAACAAGCCTGATGGTCTTTAGCCTGGAGGACACAGTGTCCATAATTTCCAAAAAGAATTTCAAATGGTGATTCGTCGGACCACAGGACACTTTTCCACTTCCCCTCAGTCCATTTTAAATGAGCTCAGGCCCAGAGAAGGTAGCGGCATATCTGGACCCTTGTTTTATATTTGGTTTCTTCTTTGCGTTTTAGAGTTTTAACTTCCATTTGTGGATGCAGTGATGAACTGTGTTCACAGACAGTGGTTTCCAGAAGGGTTACTGAGCCCATACAGTGATTTTCACTACAGAATCATGCCTGTTTTTAATGCAGTGCCGCCTGAGGGCCTAAAGATCACGGCCAGCACATCATTGCATTTTGCTTTCATTTACGTTTTGCACAGCGTCCCAACTTTTTTTGGAGATAGGAGTTGTATTTTAAAGTCTAGGTTTAGCTTGAAATGCCTCAATGAGGAAACACACTATTGTTAGATAGCCTGCTGACCTCACCTTATGTACTTCATAGCATGATGTGCAGTGGCCTCATAAAATTCGTTCGAGTTCTTCTCCAGGCTTTCTCCATGTTCTGCAAAAGTTTTTTTATCTCTGAAACAAATTAATTTTGTTAAACATTTCATAAAGTAACCTGAAGAACGTCATTAAAGTTTGCCCACAGTTCAGTGGTTTGTTTCCAAATGCTTTTGGAGGCACTGTATGGCTTAATAACTACATATTAAAGTTTCTCTTTGTGAAACCCGCAGGTCAACAGCTACAAACTGCACATTGCGGCGGTGAAGTCTTTACTACCTGAGAGAATGTTACAAAGACCGGTGAGTATGTGGTCCATTTTCTTATATTGGAGTGCGAGTAGGGTAATGGGAAGAAATATAACATTGAGGTTGTTGTAGGTGAATAAGTCCCTATTTAGCCCACAAGCCCCAATTTATTTGCCTCCTCATTTACTTCACAGCTTGACATACGGTTGACAAAGGACTTGACAAAAGCCAACATGGATGCCCTGAGAGCTAATCCACCAAGGCAAGGTATTACAAAGAATACAAAGAATAGTGAGAATGGACATCTATTATAACACTAATCTCAAGCACCGCTGCTTTATGCCTCTTGTGAATTAAGCTTTATATTTTGCTGGTTTCTTTCCACTTTACCCAGCTTAAGTCTCCTTTTCTGTGCTCCTTCTGCAGATATCAGGCTGAATATGTACTGCAGACCCCTCCATGCCCCAGTGCTGGCCTTTGTGAATGAGTTTGTGGGGCCAGAGCGAGCTCTGTTGCCCCCTCCACCGACTGCCCCAGCTGGGGTAATGGGGGACCTGTGGACCCAAGCACACAGGGGGAAAGTACAGCGTGCTATACGCAGCGCAGGAGCCTTCTATTCTCACAGTAAAGCCCCTTTCATCTCACATGCTGTAGGTGAGTTAGAACAGTGACTCAACACCCTGGATGGGTCACCAGTTCATTGCAGGGCAGACACACGTATACAATCACACACACATTCACACCCAGGGGCAATTTAGTGTGTCCAGTCTAAGCTGAATCATGTCTGCGCATGAGTTTAGGATGATGGTGTATAGTCCTGCGTACAGTTGGTGGAAATAAAATGAAACAGCAGACAATTCAGTTTTTATAGTGCAAACAAGACACTGCTAAAAAGCAGCATCTTGTGCCTCTATCGGGGCAAAAAGAATGTGTTTGAGAATTTTTGTGTCATTTATAATTTTTCCATTTTTCAAAAATTGTGTTAATAATCGAGGAACAGTGCTGATTAGGAGGAAAACGTTCAGCGTACTTTAAGTTGGTCGTTGTCCCAGGTGGTTGCTAGGCCATTACTATGGAATCCCAGGTGGTTTATAATGTGTTGCTGGGCTGTTGCTGTGAGATCCCAAGTGGTTGCTAAGGTGCTGCTAGGCCATGCTATGTTATTCAGGTTGTTGCTAATGTGTTGTTTAGTCATAGCTATAGAATTGTTGTGGTATCCCAGGTGGTTGCTAAGGTGTTGCTAGGGCATTGCTGTGGAATCCTAGGTGGTTTATAAGGCATTGCTAGGCCATGCAGTGTGTCCTAGGTGGTTACTAAGGTGTTTGCTAGGCCATTGCTGTTATCCCTGGTTGTTGCTAAAGCTTGGTCTTTGCTATAGAATCCCATGCAGTTGCTAGGCTATTGTTATGGAATCCTAGGTTGTTTATAAGGTGTTGCTAGGCTCTTCCTGTGGTATCCCAGGTGGTTGCTAAGGAGTTGCTAGGCCATTGCTATGTTATTCAGGTTGTTGCTAATGCGTTGCTTGGTCATTGCTATAGAATCCCAGGCAGCTGCTAGGCCATTGTTATGGAATCCCAGGTGGTTTATAAGGTGTTGCCGGGCTGTTGCTGTGATATCCCAAGTGGTTGCTAAGATGTTGCTAGGGCATTGCTGTGGAATCCCATGTGGTTTATAAGGTGTTGCTAGGCCATGCAGTGTGTCCTAGGTGGTTGCTAAGGTGTTGCTAGGCCATTGCTGTTATACTAGGTGGTTGCTAAGATGTTGCTTGGTCATTGCTATAGAATCCCATGCAGGTGTTGCTAGGCTCTTGCTGTGGTATTCGAGGTGGTTGCTAAGATGTTGCTAGGCCATGCTATGGTGTACTAGGTGGTTGCTAAAGTTTTGCTTGGTCATTGCTATGAAATCCCAAACAGTTGCTAGGCCATTGCTATGGAATCCCAGGTGGTTGCTAAGGTGTTGCTAGGGCATTGCTATTCCTGTATAGGGTCAACAGTCTTGCAAAGTTTTATGGTTCTAGCTCAAAAACCGTGATCTGTGAAAATGGTACCAAAAAAAGCAGAATAATAAATGAAGAATATAAAAGAATACTGTGCTTTTAAAAGAATTTGAGAGCTTGTTTTAGTTATGTCTTAAACAATGCTGTTTTTTCTCTCCAAACCAAATAAACTGCTCTGTCTTAAACTTATATATTTATATAAATTCATAGATCAGTATTATCCAATGTGAAAAAAATGACCCCAGACTTAACCCAATTTTTTCAGAGCCAAACGATTTCTAGTTAAATTCCTAATTCCTAATGCCTAATTAGACTGCAGCCATTCAGTAAATGCATCGAGATTAGATTTGGCACCATCATTTGATCAGGAGAGAAAAAAAGGGTGGGGGGGGCACTACCCTAGGGGGCTTCTTCCTCCCAGGTAAGTCTACGCTGTATATCCACTGCCTTTCAGAGGATTGGATTGACTTTTAAAGACTTTTTTTTGTTCTTTTATGCAATAATAACTTTGAATGAAAAAATGAATTATTGAAATATAATTTTTAGGTGCTATATTGAAGATTTCAATATCGGCACAACAAGAAGTTTAAATGCAAATTATTTCAAACCATTGAAGTTCAGACACATTTTATATTTGTATTTCACACAAAATTAACGTTGCATTATTGAAAACTGAATGTGTGTGTGACTGTGTATGTCTGTCTGTCTGCCCCGCGATGAACTGGCGACCTGTCCGGGGTGTATCCTGCCTTTCGCCCAATGACAGCTGGGATGGGCTCCAGCACCCTATCGCGACCCAGAAGGATAAGCGGTTTAGATGATGTGTTAGTGCGTGTATTGAAAACTGTGGTTCGGTAGTTTATGATTGTTGAAACAGTTCTTTATTTTGCAAAATGGTAGTACATTTATATGAAAAAATATCTTTAATGGCTTTAATAGTTTTTTTGTGCCATTTGTCGTTATTCTCTGGTATTCTTGACAATAAATACAGCCATAAGAGGTTCACCATAAATTATGTCAGTTCTCCAAGCTTTGGTTATCCATGCATTAAATGACAAACTGCTGTTTTGCATGCTTGAGCAGAGCTGATTGAAGGTTAACATTATGACAATGTCCTCTCCAGGCGATGCAGTCGCGCTGAATGAAAGGCCCACTCCTGGTTTCCCTGTTGCTTTCTGCTCCAGGGATGACTGTGCTGCCAGTCTTGAGAGACTGGATCTGGACCGGTATGTTGTGTTGTCGGGGTTGAATAGCACTGTGTATGGTTAAATGTATGTATATCCACATTAAATTTAAGACACAGCTGGAACAGAGCATGAAACACATACATTAGTGAGCCAACAGGGGGCAGCAAAATCCCTGGGAAGAGCCGTGAATTTAAAGTATGCTTCTCTTTTTTTTAAAAGGCCCACTTATGAGGTTTTTATGAACTAACAACAGTCATAATTCATTTTCTACATGATCCATTTAAACCCCTTATTTTATCCCTTAGAATTAAACAGGTTATTTTGCTGCTATGCCTTTAGGATGCCTTTATATGCCTTTATATGTAAACAACCTCTGTTTTCTGATTGACTGCCCTGTATTATTCATTCAAAATGCAGTCTGACCTGAAACACATCTTATGACTTCATCATAAATGGGCAGAGCTAATTTGCTTTGGGCTAAATAAAAGGATACAAGCAAATTAGTTAGTTTTAATCACAATAACAATGCATTCAAAATAAGCTGTTTAAAATAAGTATATGGTCTTTAACATATAATGTTTACATACTGCGTCAAACTCTTTTATTCCAAAAAATGATATTGCGTGATGTGGGCCTTTTAAGGGGTTCAGATTATTACTCATCCTAAGAAACCCCCCAATGTAGTGCAAAGCCTTGTATATATACCATACACCCCAGTGAACTTGTCCTTCCTGCCCCCAGTAATTACGCACTGTTAACCAACTTTATGTCTCTCCAGTCGTGGTCTGATTGAGTGCCCGAACCTGGACGGGATGGATAAGCTCCGCCTCCTCAACCTTCAGCACAACCTCATCTCTCACCTGCCACACCTCACTCACCTGCGGCGCCTCGTCTTCCTCGATCTCTATGACAACCGCTTGACCGACATGTCACCCATCTCCGCTCTGGCTTTGCTCCGCGTGCTCATGCTTGGCAAGAACAGGTGTGTGTGGGCAAATGTGTCTCTCACACAAACACGCGCACGCTTGGAAGCGTGTCCATTGCCTACGTACATACGTAAAGATATTGCTCACTAGTTAGCACATTTGCTGTGTTGTGTAACTTTCTTCTGCTTTTTCAGCTTTATTTGTATTCAGTACTTATTCAGTTCTTATTCAGCTTGGTCACTGGAGAGCTGGACACAAGTGCCTCAAAATGACAGCCTCCATTATATTTTCTTTAAGTGACCGAGGAACAATTAACAGTTTAATGTATAGTAGTTTTGATAGCCACATTGGAGTTGGATCAGGTAAGTACTAGACTATGCAGTACAGGAGCCTTCAGTGCAGGGAGTTTTTGAGAACTCTTTTACTTAAAGGTGCATTGTGTTATATATTTAGGGGGATCTATTAGCAGAAATACACAGATCAGGCATAACATTATGACCACCTCCTTGTTTCTACGCTCATTGTCCATTTTATCAGCTCCACTTACTATATAGGTGCACTTTGTAGTTCTACAGTTACAGACTGTAGTCCATCTGTTTCTCTGCATACTTTGTTAGCCCCCTTTTACCCTGTTCTTCAGTGGTCAGGACCCCCATGGACCCTCACAGAGCAGGTACTATTTGGGTGGTGGATCATTCTCAGCACTGCAGTAACACTGACGTGGTGGTGGTGTGTTAGTGTGTGTTGTGCTGGTCTGAGTGGATCAGACACAGCAGTGCTGCTGGAGTTAATGCCAATGTCCCCATATTAACAGCCTCTGGCCTGGTCAACCATGCAAACACAATGTCCAAATAACTATTACACTGGCCTGGCTCGCACTGACTTTAGCTAAGTTATGAAAACGTGATCTATTTTAAGCCATGCCCTTAGTTAATGCTGACCTGATGGCATGAGTACATTCAGAAACGATCAGACAAACACATGTTGAACAAATTTTTTGGTCATTAAAGGTTCTAAAATAATATGAATATGGGGAAACTAGAGTGTAACCTGCAGGTGAACCTTGTCCCAGTCACCTCCTGCATCTACATGACCAACAATTATCTCCTCTCCCTCTCTCGCTTTGAAGCTTTTACCTAATTGTGGTAAAATGCCAGTGAGATCTAATTGCACAGGTCTGCCTCAGCCTCCAGGGCTACAAACCGTGACCTTTCTGTGTGCTGCTGAGCTGCTGGCTTTGCTTTTTTTAACGAAAGCATGCCGCAGATTTAAGTTTCTGCTGGCATTTCCGCCCCATTGTAACGCTACTCCCCTCTACATTCTTCCCTTCATACAAAGCACAGTCCTGTCCAGGCATCCCTGGAGAGTCCTACACATGCATAGCAGCCTGCCAACCTCCAAATGCCAGTGGACAGAATGAATCCATCTGTATCTGTTTTCTTTAATTCTGTATTCAACATAATAAACCACATAGCAAAAATAAGATGATGAATGATATATACATGCTTAAAATATAAGGTTGCCAAAAAGAGTTGTGCCATGGAACAGGGGTCTCAAACTACTGGCTTGAAACTACTGGCAAACTACAATGGCAAAAAATAGGCACTGAATACTTGAATACTAACAAAAAAAGTTTCATATAAAACAATAAACTACATTAGCCTCTTTAAATGTCCCCAGTGTACAGTAGAGGGAGTGGGGGCACACGTTACATTGCAGTGCATGCTGGGAAATGTAGTGCAGTTCATGGTGAAATGCACTAATATTAATAGAAAATTAAAATTCTTTTATGGGCCAAATAGGTTTGTGCCATGGGCCTGACTTGGCCCGCAGGCCTTGTGTTTAACACATGGGGCTTAGACTGATGAGTGTGTTTACATGCACTTAATAATCCAATAACTGCAGGAAATCAGATTTTGTCAGTAATCCGATCAACAAGTTTATATGCACTTGAGTAATCAGATAATGGGAAAACTCCGGGTCTACATGAGTCAGGCAGCAATCGGATTTCTGCTTTGCAACCAGCCAATAGACTCACAGAAGAAGATGCAGCGTAAACATAATGTAAAACTCAAACTTCATGCCGCGGCTTTTTTTTAAACATCGCCCCACTTTACCTGAAAATATGAACAGACATCGTCTAGAAGATGTTTGGTTTCGGCGCTGCTCCAAGTGTTTTGCTGCGTGACATCCACCGTCCTTCTTGCGCATGCGCAGACTGAGAAATCTGAAAGAAATCAGAGTAAGAGTTCACATGCACTGAGAAATCTGATTACTGAGCTAAACTCCAGCTCTCTTTATCGGATTTCTAGATCAGAGTATGGTGTTTACATGACCATTGAATAATCGGATAACTGCAGAAATCTGATTATGATCGGATTACTGAGTGCATGTAAACGCACTCTATGTTAAAAACAAAAATACAGCACTACATACATGAGAAACCATCAAACTTATACCTGACACAGCGTGACCACCTCACACTCACCACACATAGCTGTAACTGACTCAGCCTATTATTCTAGTTTACACTTTTACTTACTTAAATCTGCCTTTAGTGGATTCATTCAAGAAACACTAGTAAATACAGCCTGTCAGAATTAAGAAATGAGTGGAATTATCAAACAAATCCACTGAGAACACAGAATTAACTGCTCGTATTGCCAGCACTTCACTCACAATAACTTCACTCATGTTTGTCAGCAACACTAATGCTGTCACAGTGAGAGTCATTCATAATTCTGCAGTTTAATGTAAGTCTAAACCCTATGTTTTGCACTATTGCTATTACTACTACTACTAATATAAGTATTATTTTTATCAACAACTATAAGAACTATAGTTATGAGTTGTAGTGACAGAAGAATTGCCAATAAACGTGCATTTAAATAATATTTTTTTCATCACAGAAACATACTAGTTAAACGGCTTATAACCCATATTTTTGTGTATTTTATTTTTTTGTTTTGATGGCCACTTATAACATTTGTGTGTTTTTTATGTACCAAAAATGCTCATAAATGAGTGTAGTTTGAATATTTTTTTGCGAATGAATGTAGCTAAACTGTAGTAGGGTGAATAGGTGCATATATGTAAATGAGTTCTTGTGACGTCGCAGAAACAATGACAAAACAAAATGAGCTGTTTTTGCGGCTCAGTTTCCTTATAGGGACTGTATGAACTTATTTTTAAAAAATGAAGGCAATTCAGGTTTTCATGATATGGGCCCTTTTTTCCTAGAACCGTATATCCAAGCTAAGAAGTGTTTTATGTACCTTTATTTTTAAGAGTAGTATTTTTCTTTCTTATTTTTCAGAATTCAGAGAATATGTGGCCTGGACAACTTGACCAAACTTGACGTGCTGGATTTGCACAGCAACCAGGTATTGATTTCTGCTTTGTTTTTCATTAAGCCCCCTGTATTTTATCAGCCGTGCTAAAGGTCTGCTCTCTGTAGACGGTAATAGCCTGTCCCCACCTGCTGCCGGCCTGAATATGTGACATTTAGAGGCTTTGACCCCATCTAAACGAATGTTGGCTGAGGGGGGTTTGGTTCTGATTGGCTGTCGAGCAGTGATGTCACGCTGTGAGGAAGTTGCACCTCCTCCGTGCTGCTGCCGCTTCTGCGTCACATGCTCCGAGCTCCAGCAGAGACGACACACCGGAGCTGAACCCAGAACAGCTTCTCAGAATGAGTCAGATCAGAGCGCAGCGTGGCAGGGCTGTCACTCAGAGCAGCAGCCGGCCTCAACCTCATCATTAATGCTAGAGGCTTTGTTTGCTCCAGTGTTGGACTGTTCTTATGCTGAGTGGTAGATTGGCTCGGTGTTGACAAGCTCTGTGAGGGGGACCATGTCCAAATCAACTGCAGACAGCTGGGTTCCAATCAGTCACAATGTTACAAGCAATGACTGTGTTTATGAGTACTTTTGTGGGCAATTACTCTTTCTACGAGCGTCTTTTAGGAAATCTGTTGTGTTTAGATTAAAATTTTACGCAGTTTTCAAGGGTACCTACTGACACGGTCATCATGAAAGCAATTGAAAGGCTTGAAACAGTGAGTCAGTGATGGTGTGTAGAGCAGTGGTCAACATAATATTTTTACAATCTCATTCTCGTCTGGCAGACAAAGGGCTTATTATCATTGAGTGATATTATTATAGTCTTTATTACACCATAATCTAACGACGCATTTTGAATGTTTGTAGTGGTCTGCCGTCAATATTTGCCAACTCTTTTCAGACATAATTGCTGTTGAACATTGTGTTTCTATGAGCCTGCTTTGCTAATATTAGCACTACTGTCAGCTATTGGTTAAGGCTGGTATAACTAACTAAGCTAATTTGGCAACTGTTTTCTAACTAATGCTAAAGTTTCAACCCCAAAGATCTTAGAAACACAGTTGGTAAAGACCATGTTAGCTTATCATGGTGAACTTTTGAGTTCCATCATGTTTTTAATTGAAATATTAACTGAATATAAAGCCCATGTGCCTGTATGTGGGTTCATATTTAAGTTCCTTGCTCTACAAATGTTCATATTAGTTTCATTATAGACAATAAATAACGAAATAATTCATGGTAGTCTTGAGCAAAGGTGTAGTCTATGTGATGCACAGGTACAGTACTGTGCAGAAGTCATCATCCTTTATTTATTTATTTCAAATCAACATGGCCAATAAGTACAAGTTATTTATTTTTCTGCATCAGAAATATACACACTATATGGACAAAAGTGTTGGGACACCCCTGCTAATTATTGAGTTCAGGTGTTTTCAGCCACACTCATTGCTAACAGGTGGATAAATAAAGCACATAGTCTTGCTGTCTCGATAGACAAACACTGGCAGTAGAATGGGTCGTACTGATGAGCTCAACTGTAAGCGCTATTATTGTGAAATGGAAGTGTCTAGGAGCAACAACAGCTCAGCCACGAAGCGGTAGACCACCCAAACTCACAGAGAAAGGCTGCCGAGTGCTGAAGCGCACAGTGTCTATCCTCTGTTGAATCACTCAGAAAGAGTTCCGCCTCTGGAAGCGAAAGAACTGCACGTTAGGAGCTTCACGAAATGGGTTTCAAGGCTAAGATCAAAATGCACAATGCCAGACGGGGGGAAGTGGTGTAAGGCATGCCGCCACTGGACTCTGGAGCATGACTGGGTGAGTTTGGTGTGGAAGAACTTGACTGGCCCTCACAGAGCCCTGACCTCAACCCCAATCAAACACCTTTGGGATGAACTAGAACCGAGATTGCGAGCCAGGCCCTCTCGTCCAACATCAGTGTCTGACCTGACAAGTGATCTTCAGGACGAATGGACAAAAGTTCCCACAGACACTCTCCAACATCTTGTAGAAGCTTTGCAGAGGAGTGGAAGGTGTTATAGCTGAAAAGGGGGACCTACTCCATATTAATGCCTGTGGATTTAGAATGGGATGTTATAAAAGCTCCTGTAGGTGTAATGTGTAGGTGTTCCAATAATTTTGTGTGTATACACATGTTTATATATGTGTATATTAGTGTGTCTATGTATTTATTACAGTTGTTAAATCTGCAGAGACATTTTTCCAAAGTTTAGTCTTAAAAATTGGTTGCATTTTCTGCTTCTCACGATTCAATTAATCCCAAACACACATTGAGATTAGACATAAGATATTTCATGCATAAGGAAGGGCAAAGTGAAAGAAAAACAGGAGCTCAAAAATTATTAGACGATTTTGAGAAAATGTGAGCGCCTAAAAATAAACACCACTTAAAGCTTTCATCTTTGAGAGAGGAGAACATCAAGCTCCACTCTTGCTTCAGATCTTAAAAAATCATGAGCTGTCAGAAAGCAGACAAAAGGAAACAGACAAAGATCAAATTTTGCACTAGAACACTGAAATTAGACATCTGAGATGTGAAATAAGACTTCGTAGACTGATGAGTCTAAATTTGTAAGTGGGATTGTTTTGATGGCGAGAAGCAGAAAATGCAGCCAACTTCAAAGACTGAACTTTGGAGGTTTGGAACCGTATCTTTGCAGATTTCTTTGCAAAGTCTCTTGAAAAGAATGGAACCTGTGACACTAAATGCTGAAAAAGATATTACATTTAGGTCTTGAGGCTTTCCTTATCCTTCTGGGTCACGGTGGGGTGCTGGAGCCTATCCCAGCTGTTGGGCGGAAGGCAGGATACACCCTGGACAGGTCGCCAGTCCATCGCAGGGCAGACAGACAGACATACGCAATCACACACACTCACACCTAGGGGCAATTTAGCACGTCCAGTTGGCCTGACTGCATGTTTTTGGACTGTGGAAGGAAACCGGAGTACCCGGAGGAAACCCACACAGACACGGGGAGAACAGGCAAACTCCACACAGAAAGGACCCTGGTCACCCGGCCGGGAATCGAACCCAGGCCCTTCTTGCTGTGTGGCGACAGCGCTACCCACTGCGCTACTGTGCCGCCCTTTTCCTGACACTGAAAACGTTAACAAATTGGCCATTTTGGCTGGAAATTCAACAAATGAAAGGGTGGTCTCTGACTTTTGCACAGCACTATAACTGAGCAAGCATTTTAGTTGCGTTGCCATGTGCTAATTTGGCTAGTCTTGCTAGCAGATGCTCACAGTATACCCTCTGTTTCAGCCTATAGACAAGATTTAAGATTACTAAGTGAAAAATAAACCTGCAGTTTAAGGACTTAAACAGGACAGCGGGACAGAGAAAGTGATTTTGCGGAAGTGTTCAGCATCTAAGCCTCCCATTCGCTCTCCATTGACTCTTGGTATGCGTGCCACTCTCTCTATCTCTGTGTCTGTGTTCCTATCTCCTTTTCCTTCTCTCGGCGGGTGCTGTTCCTCTGCCCCGTTACACTGCCATGTGACACTAATGACCACTCACATCTCTCTCTCTCCTCTTGTCTTGCGTCCACCTTTTCTCCCTCTCTCTCTCCTATGTGTGCTCATTAGACTCATGCTCCCCCTTCACTCCCTCTGATTGACTCACCAAAAGCTGATTGACTGAGATCACATCTCTTGACTTGTGCACTCTCAGTGCACTTGGTGCTTTTGACTGAAGTGCAATCTGATTAAACGCTATCGCAGGGATTAAAAAGCAGCCTTTTAATGCGCTCTGTGCTTTTTCTTTTCCATTTCCTTTTAATTCTTTCTTTCATCCTGTCTTAGTTTGCCCCCCTCCATCCCACACAGCTTCAGATTCAAACAAGGCCGCTCACTGCTAGACTCTCTGTCCTTTACACAAATCCCTACTATTGTATAAAGGTGTGCTACACACTGTGGGCGTGAATCACATGTTCAGGCATTCAGAAAGACTGCCTAGAGCCACTTTCTTTGATACACAATCCTTTTGCGGTTGTACAGCGAACACTGACACAGCAAGAACTCCTACGTCGACTTGAGTGGAGGAAAACTGCCTACATTGTCTCTACATTAAGTGTGAGTCAGCAGAAATGAAAAGCATAAGATATTCCCAAGAAGCGCATTAAATGATTATTGACCCTGGTGCCCGCAGTAACACATCCAAAGCCTATTCTACAGCTATGACAAACAACCTGGTTGACGTGTAATTAAAGCTCACTTAATGTTCATGAATCCGTTTGTTGCAGGTTTGTTTGGTCCTTTTTTTTAAAGGAATACTTTGGCAAAATAACAGTTTACCTTTGTTTTTTAAAGGAAATTAAATCTGCACTTTGCCCTTTACCCCAAATATAATTAATCAGCCAAGACATGTTTGGTGTCTGAAGTTTGCCAAGTGCGCACTGGAGCTACAAGGCTAAAGTAGCTAGCACATAATGTAAGAGTACACCAATCAGGCATAACATTATGATTGTTTCTACGCTCATTGTCCATTTTATCAGCTCCACTTACTATATAGGTGCACTTTGTAGTTCTAGAGTTACAGACTGTAGTCCATCTGTTTCTCTGATACTTTGTTAGCCCCCTTTTACCCTGTTCTTCAGTGGTCAGGACCCCCATAGACCCTCACAGAGCAGCTACTGAGTGATGGATCATTCTCAGCACTGCAGTAACTCAGCGTTACTGGTGTGGTGTGTTGGTGTGTTGGTGTGTGTTGTGCTGGTCTGAGTGGATCAGACACAGCAGTGCTGCTGGAGTTTTTAAACACTGTGTCCACTCACTGTCCACTCCATTAGACACTCCTACCTTGTCAGTCCACCTTGTAGATGTCAAGTCAGAGACGATAGCTCATCTGCTGCTGCACAGTTTGTGTTGGTCTTCCTCTAGTCCTTCATCAGTGGTCACAGGACGCTGCCCACAGGACGCTGTTGTTACTATTCTCAGTCCAGCAGCGACACTGAGGTGTATACCAAACCATTTAGCATTGTTTCAGCTAATTGGGCATACATATATAACCCATACAACTCTCCAAATACTGTCATGGTATGTGGTATTACTTTTACACGCTGTTTGCTTTTTTATGCACTTTTGTCCCACCTCATCCTGTGTTATTGTAAAATCACCTTATATAGTTACCTAATAAGTGAATGCAGTGTATGCATTTCAATCCATCATTTAATGAATGTCAAAATATCTGTTTAACAACAGATAAACAATGTTGCAAACTACGAGAGAGACTAATGGATGCAGCCCAAATCTGGCCCGTCTACATTGTCGGTCTATAACATTCACTCCAAAATTGGCTCACAAATATAGACACAAGGCAAAACCATATGAAGCTCTCTGTTATCTGGGCCTATTCTGGCCCGCATGCCTAACATCTGCTCAGTGGTCAATGAACAATCACGTAGAAAAACCAGAATCGGCCCAAAACTGTCTGCTAACTGGTTAGCATTAGCTTAGCTAGCATGATGACTGCTCTGCTCATAATAAAACAGGTTCATTTCTGGATAACTGAAGCTACACTGACACAAATTTATACGATAATGACTCAAATTTGAGGAGGCAAAGTCGATTAACTGGTATTAAAGAGAAAGAAAGCTGAAAATAAACCATGGCCGCCTACTAGCTAACCTAAGGTCAACTTAGCAAGCAAGCTGCAGATCCAACCAGTGCCGCACACCATTGTACAGGTTGTGATTTAAAATAGACCTGCTTATATGGTTTCTGCTGTATAACACACTTTTATCTATAAACTTGGACATGCTACTACTATTTCTGACTAATCAAAATACTTTTGTTCATTTTTTTTTATAAATAACAGAAGGTCATACAGTGTCAGTAACCACATAAGAGCGTCTATTACAGATTACTTAACTACTCAATACAGGTTAGACTGTGAATGTACCGCAGATACACCAAGGTGCTTTGGCCAGATTGAAATACTGATTCTCATACTCTTAAATTACCTCTAAACAATGGCCGAAGTCAGAGTTCATGACATGAAGTTATTAGCCTTCAGAAAGAAGGTTTCCCTCTGGCGTATAACACGTTCATCTGTTGTAATACTCCATTTTCAAATTACGTTCCACCCCAGCAGCTGAAGTATTAGGACAGTGGTCACCAACCCTGGTCCTGGAGATCTATCTTCTTCCGAGTCTAGTTCCAACCACAATCTGCAGCGTCTACTCCTGCTACTTAAACCTCTTTTCAAGTACTTGATTGGCTGGATCAGATTCATTAGTGTTAAGTAAGGGGCGGGGCAGTGCATTAGATACAGGTTGGAACTAAACTCTACAGGAAAGTAGATTTCCAGGACCAGGGTTTGAGATCACTGGGTAAGGGATTTCAAATAGGATCTTAATATATCATACAGTGTAAACAACCACACTTAAAATCTGTTTGAGATTGACTCGGCATGCCTTGAGGCAGATGTGTGATGATTCAGGTCTGCAGTGAGTGATATCCATAAAGCAACGCTGGGTCAATGTATGAACATGCTGGGATGAACTGACCCGGCATTGCCGAGTTATATCTCCTTATTTTGGCCCAACACTAATATTATAGTCTTATAGTCTGTTATTCACAGTGTTGATAAGTTTGCAAGTTTTACATCAATTTTGTTGCAGGTACATGTAGAAAATGCTTCTAATTTCATACTGCTACTCTACAGCCCTATAGATATCAAAAAGTATGTTGATGAAGAGAAAATGAAGAAATGTTAGATGTATTTAGAATGATTAACCGAGCTGCGTATGATTTTCAATGATGAGGAAGCGATTAAATATGAAATAGAACATCTTAAAATACATTTTGGTGTCTAGCTTATTGTATTTCAGTCCTCACAGTGTAAGTTATTGGTAATAACCAATAACATAACAAATGATTCCAAGTGGTTAAATAGTTATATAAACCTTTCTCAGTTTACAGTGTCATACTGTTCTGCTCTGTTGTGTTTTGACTCTGCTTGTAGATCACTAAGATAGAGAATGTGTCTCACCTGTCGGAGCTGCACGTACTGAACCTGGCAGATAACTGCATCTCCAGAGTGGAGAACCTACAGGGCCTGGACTCACTGACCGAACTCAACCTCAGACGTAACCGAATCTCCACTGTGGTAAGCACCCACGCAACACCATACATCCATTTATGTATTTAAATTTTATTTATTGAGTTTTCACAGGATTACAATCTTCACCAGGTCAAAAAATCCACATATAGGAACAGGACGAGGTCCCTAACCCAACCCTACACATGAAGTAAAGGGGACAGTGTTTAAGGCATCGGTCAGGAGTGCTTGTTACATGGCTTTGCAGATGTAATTGCAGAATTTTCTAGATCTTCCAGCATTTGATGGATTTTTTTATGTAGGTCAAATGCTAGTTTCTCCAAGGTCAGTGAGTTACCGTCTTATCTCGAAAGCAGGTATTTATATGCTTGCGCTGTACGAAAACACTCAGCCCGATTGGCATACTGCGCTGTAGGTGCTCTCATGTGGAAATCAATCCCTTCCAGACATCTCTGTCCATGGGCAGTTCCCGTTAAAGCTGTTTCATTCAAAATGACACACTGCACGTCCGAGTACCGAGCAAAAATAAGACAGTGTGTGTGCAGCTTTACCACGCCATGTACTGAGACTCAAACCAGGCAGTGATGTAGATGGATATGACAGTACATACCCATCTACAGAGCAAACCATGTGCAGAGCAAAGCATATGCAGTCTTTGGTACTGCAAATGTAGACTCTCAGACTATATGTCATCTATTTAGGTCAGAAATAGTGAAATCTATCCGACTGTCTGACTGCTCAGTAGGCGCTCATTTGGGCAGTTAAATGGGCATGGATTACCCCTCACACCAACCGATGAAGCTGAAATTAAGCCTTAAATTAAAAACCATACAAGGAGTGTCTGTGTTATGACCCCACGTTTTGTCTACGGTGCTGTAGGATCAGTAACGTGGCATTAAAATTTTATTAAAACCAACCACAATAAAATGGTGTGCTATGATACCTAGTGCCACATCTTAACAATCTAGCACAATTTGCTTTTAGAATCAAGGATGCACTTCTAAGCTGTGAGGGGAAGGCAATAAGTACATGTTTAAAACATTATTGGTCTTAGTGAGGAGTCGAAAAAGGAATAATTGGCCTTTATTATCTCTCAGTGAGGAGGATGGACTTCTTTTCTTCTCCCTCATCACTCATTCAATGCCAGTCACGGCCATCTGTTAGCTCAAGTATACAGAATTGGGCAGTTAGTGCTCTCTTTGGGTGTTCAGCTGTCCAGTGACATTGCGTGAGTAATGGCTAAAAAAATGTGTGTTTGGCTTCCTCTGAAACATGTGTAGGCCCTCAGCCTAACCGCTTGGTTGTATTGTGGTGGAGAACTAGCTAGCAAATGGCAACAGCTAAATTGGGTAGAAAATTAGGGGGTTGAAACAGTACTGAAGCACAGAGCTGATGTAATTACTCCCCCTGCACAGAGGAGGGCAATATAGCACTGAAGGAAAGCAATTTCAGAGCAATCACTCAGCTAGAGAGTCTCAGCAGCTTTGTGTAGAGGTGAAAGCAGCCCCGCTGTGGGCTCAGCAGCAGGAGTTCAAACTACTTTTATTCAAATCCAGGCTGTTCTGGCCAAAGCCATATTCTTCTGATTGACTCACAATGCTGTTGGAGTACATTCACCTCTCACTCCTAACCTCCTAGTCCTTTGCTCATGCGTTTCCAGTGGATTCTTATATTTTTATTGTAATGACAGAAACGGTGGGCAATATGGCAAAACTACTGTCTCATAATACGTAAGATATTTTGAAGAAACAAGATATAGATTTATTTAATTTCCAGTCAAAAGAGCCATTAAGTTCAAATTATTAAATTTTTTTAAGCTCTTTCTAAGGAGATTAGATGCAGGATAATCCACTTGCATAAGGACGTCAAAGAAAAGTAAGTGGAAAAATCTGGAGTTTCTCCTCTTTGTTCCACAGTATGTCCGTTTCTTCCCCTCTGCTGTTGCCATGTGCCTTTTGTTTTCTTGTGCCATGTGCTTTTTTTGTTGTTTTGTTCTGTGCCTCCGCACCAACGTCCTCGGGTGCAGGGTGGGCCACACCGATGTCCTCGGGTGCAGGCTGGGCCACACCGACGGCCTTGGGTGCAGGCCGGGGCACACTGACGTTCTCGGGTACAGGCTGGGCCACAACGGCGTCCTCGGGTGCAGGCTGGGCCACAACGGCATCCTCGGGTGTGGGCTGGGCCACACCGGCGTCCTTGGGTGCGGGCTGGGCCACACCGACGTCCTCGGGTGCAGGCCGGGGCACACTGACGTCCTCGGGTGCAGGCTGGGCCACACCGGCATCCTCGGGTGCAGGCTGGGCCACACCGGCATCCTCGGGTGCAGGCCGGGGCACACTGACGTCCTCGGGTGCAGGCTGGGCCACAATGGCGTCCTCGGGTGCGGGCTGGGCCACACCGGCATCCTCGGGTGCAGGCCGGGGCACACTGACGTCCTCGGGTGCAGGCTGGGCCACAATGGCGTCCTCGGGTGCAGGCTGGACCACACCGGCGTCCTTGGGTGCAGGCTGGGCCGAGGGCAAGGTGGCCTTTTTCTCCTTACCAAGAACAACGACTGAAGCTGACGAAGCAGATGGGAACCCTCCTGAAGTCTGACCTCATTCTCCTTAATAAGTTCATGCAAACTCGCTGCTTCCCTGTTTGGTCTTGCATTCTGTAACGTTGAAGGCGAGGAGGCGAGATGCAAGTGCAAGTTGCTTTTATTCCAGTTAGAGTTAACAGAGTCCAGAAACTGAGTAGCAGAGGTTTAAAGAACAGACCAGTCCATAATGAAACAAAGCCAAACAACAAGCTAAAAGAAAATAAGTGACAGGGTAACATCCACAATGCAAGACAAGGAGACTGAACAAGCACAGAGGTATAAATACACTGAGGGGAAACAAGAAACACCTGGGACTAATGAGGGGGTGGAGCTACAGGGAGAACCATTGAGGGGCCACAGAAAAAAACAATAACAAAAGCACATGGCAACAACAGAGAGGAAGAAATAGACACACTCTGGAACAAGGAGGAAACTGTGACACAAACACATCAAACAAAGAAGCTGAACAATGGACTGACCACCCCAGAGTCCAGACCCCAACATCACCGAATGTGTTTGATTACATCAGAAAATGATCAACCAACTTCTAAGACTGAACTTTGGGGGTGTGGCTGCAGATTTCGTTGAAGATCTGAAATTGAGTCTCCTGAAAAAATGATATTGGACGTTGTAATACAGGTAAAGTGTGGACACGTTGAACACTGCAAAATCAGATATTGAGGTTTCTGCGTAATTTTCTGTTAAATATGTTTTGTACTTTTTGACCGTTTTGACTGGAAATTAAATATGTAAAGGGTGGTCTCTGACTTTTGCACAGTACTGTACACTGATCAGGCATAACATTATGACCACCTTCTTGTTTCTACACTCATTGTCCATTTTATCAGCTCCACTTACTATATAGGTGCACTTTGTAGTTCTACAGTTACAGACTGTAGTCCATCTGTTTCTCTGCATACTTTGTTAGCCCCCTTTTACCCTGTTCTTCAGTGGTCAGGACCCCCATGCACCCTCACAGAGCAGGTACTATTTGGGTGGTGGATCATTCTCAGCACTGCAGTAACACTGATGTGGTGGTGGTGTGTTGGTGTGTGTTGCGCTGGTCTGAGTGGATCAGACACAGCAGTGCTGCTGGAGTTTTTAAACACCTCAGTGTCACTGCTGGACTGAGAATAGTCCACCATAAAAAAATATCCAGCCAACAGCGTCCTGTGGGCAGCGTCATGTGACCACTGATGAAGGACTAGAGGATGACCAACACAAACTGTGCAGCAGCAGATGAGCTATCGTCTCTGACTTTACATCTACAAGGTGGACCGACAAGGTAGGAGTGTCTAATAGAGTGGAACAAGGTAATAGAATGGGCAGTAAATGGACACAGTGTTTAAAAACTCCAGCAGCACTGCTCTGTCTGATCCACTCGTACCAGCACAACACACACTAACACACCACCACCACATCAGTGTTACAATGTTATGCCTGATTCGTGTATGTATGACCATATTCAGATTTGCAGAAGATTGCAAATTACAAACAAGTTTTGGATAAAATGCACAGTTAATCAGCAGTGTCACATTTAAAAAAGTACAATTTTTTTCATTATTTTTTTAAACAGATGACTGGGAGAAATTAATACAATTGAATATAAATAATAACATTTATGGAACAGTTTAGCAAAATAACAATGACATTATGGGCTGACATCCAGTCAGCTACTTGTTGCTATGCAGTTTATGCAGTTACTGTGCACTGGTTGTTGTTGATTACAGGCTCTGTATAATTGTACTGTGTGATTTCTCATGATAACATATCCTCATATTGCCCACCCACAAATGACAGTTTCCCTACCAGATGTTATTCCTGCTGCCTGTTGTTCCGTTCAGCCATCATCTTTGCTGAATGCAGCTGTCACACGACTAATCTGCTATTTTTTGTTGAGTTTCTGGTTTTACTTTTGGTGGTTTTATCCTGCTTTGCCACAGTGCTGGAGGATTAGGCTTGCTTGTTTTGGTCATAAGGTTGTTATTGTTACTAAATAATGTGTGGTTAATAAAGAAGAAAGAGGGAGGGAGAAAGAAAGAGGGAAAGAGAGAAGGAGAGGGAGGCAGATCACTAAATAAGGCTGTAATTGAGTTGTTTTTCTTTGGCATCCTAAAGTCATTATAAACCACATGTGAGCACACATCCTTAGATGCTCAGACATGCCTTCCTTTTACACACCAAGCTTAGAGCATGTGATAAAATCAGACTGGAATCCCAACAGTGGCCAGTATCTGTATTTCCCTCTGGAGTTTTAGAGCTGGAAGGAGCATCCAGGAGCTTTATTAGAAAGAGGGAGAGTACAAATACTGCTTAGATGATGGCTTCATCTTTTTTGGCCTAAATGCTGAAACTAAAAGTGAAAATAAATTAATATCATATTTGTTTATTGCAACCCCATTTCCAAAAAAGTTGGGACGCTGTGCAAAATGTAAATAAAAACAAAATGCAGTGATGTGCAAATCAT